ACCCTCATTTATTGCTGGTGGGAATGCAAAATGGTACAGGCAATTTGGAAGGCAGTTTGGCACTTTCTTACAAAACTAAAAATATTTTCTTAATATAGGAGCCAGCAATCAGGCTCCCTGCTATTAGCCAGAGGAGTTGAAAGTTTCACCCACAGAAAAACCTGCCCACCCATGCCTATAGCAGCTTTACTCACAATTGCCAAAACTTAGAAGCAACCAAGATGTCCTTTAGTAGGTGAAGGCATAAATGAACTGTGATACATACAGACAAGGATGTAATACTCAACACTTAAAAGAAATGAGCTGCCAATCCTTGAAAAGACATCAGAGAATCTTTTATTTTTCCTTTCATTTTATTTATTTGACACAGAGAGACACAGCGAGAGAGGGAACACAAGCAGGGGGAAAAGGTGAGGGAGAAGCAGGCTTCCCGCGGAGCGGGGAGCCCGATGCGGGGCACGATCCCAGCACCGGGGGATCATGACCTAAGCTGAAGGCAGGCGCTTAAAGACTGAGCCACCCAGGACATCGAAGATCTTAAATGTGTGAATCTTAAATGTATATTACTACGTGAAAGAAGCTGATTTGAAAAGGCTACATTGTATGATTCCAACTATATGACATTCTGGAAAAGGCAAAACTGTGGAAACAATAACAGGATCAGTGGTTGCCAGAAAGGGGGCACAGAGGTTTTTGAGGGTAGTGGAAATACTTTGTGTAATACTCTAATGGTGAATACTTTCATGATCCATTTGTCTAATCCCACAGAATGTAGAACACCAAGAATGAACCCCAAGGTAAAGTATAGCCTTTGGGTGATTATGATGTGCTAATGCAGGTTCATCAGTTGTAACAAATGCAGCACTCCAGTGGTGAATGTTGACAATGACGGAGGCAATTCATGTGGGGGTGGAGGGCAGGAAGTATGTATGGGAAATCTCTGTACCTTCCCCCCATTTTGCTGTGAATCTTAGGCTTCTCTAAACAATAATAGCCTTAATTTTTTTTTAAAGTAAGCACTCTTAAGAACAATCTTCCCAAAGTAAGCAATTTTGAACAATGAATGCAAACAAATTTTTTAAAAAATTCAGTCACAAAAGTTTAACTTATTCATCCAATCTTTAAGAGCAGAATAGAAAACTTTACCCCACCAGAACCTGGGTTCTTATTTCTGTCTGAGTTCCTGTTCAGGGGTATAAAGCTGATAGGCCAGCAGATATTCTAAGAGAATGAAGTTGGGGAGGTGGGGTGGGTAGGTGTTATTTAAAGAGTTAGCTGATGTGAGGTGGTAGGACCCATAATCCAGTATCATAGATTTTATGTGAGGAAATCTGCAGGTGATAAACAGCAGAAAACAGGCGGAATTGAGTTAAAAGCCAGGCACACGTCCCTGGGTGGGCTCGAACCACCAACCTTTCGGTTAACAGCCGAACGCGCTAACCGATTGCGCCACAGAGACTTGATGTTGCAGTTTCCCCAATTTCATAGGTGGCTGAAACTCGCACCCTAGGATGTACTGCTGTCCATTCTGCAGGAAAACCGAATTTTTTCTAGCTTTGCAGAACAGAGATAAATCATATTGTTTGTCTCATTTGAAACTGGTGCACTGGGTGATTCTGAAACTCAAAGGGCAGCCGCACCGCCTTGCCACACTTTGCTCCTGACCTGACTCATCGCTAGCACCTGCATAGACCCCAGGGCCGCAATTCCCTGGACCTGAGCTCCGTGGGGTCTTTGGGAAGCTGAAGGCCTGTTGTGCTCCGGTGGTGGCTCTTTCCATTTCTCCGCCTTCACCCAAAGGAGAATCTGCCTGCTCTTCCCCAAGAGGCCTACGGGACGGTGTGTTGTTTGGTTTCCTGTGTCTAACACTGGACTCCAGGAAGGCAGGGATCGTGGTGTCTCCTCCCGGAGAACAGGGTCTGATACTCACCAGTAAGCACTGTTAAGACTTGTTAAATACATTGTTGTTTAGCTTCTAGTCCCACAAAGAACGCTGAGAATGGAAATAATGAAGTTTTTCAAAGCAGAAAGTTCTTTGTAGCCTTTATTCGGATTGACTGCTCAGCCTCCCGTGCAGCGGGCAACCTGAAAGGCCTACGGAGCACCCTCGGCTCTTGAGCTCCCCACGCCCAGCTCAGCGGAGTTGGGTACTCACTCATTGAGGCAGGCGAGGTAGATCCCTAAGGCAGGAAAGGAAACATGGGGGGGGGAGTGGGCGGGAACGGGGGTTGGAAAAGGGCAATGAGACCTCCTAGGAGGCTTGTGGGTGGGGGGTGGGGAGGAAACAAGTTGGATCCAGAATGCCGAGAATTGTTTTTGTTATATAACAGAAGGGGGGAGAAGGGTCAGAGCCGGTGTGGGAGAAAAAGCAGAAGGGAGAAAGAAGCGGAGGGGGGGGAGGAGGGAGGGAGGAAGAGACACGGAGGGGATGAAAGAATTTCTACTTCCATCCCTCCCTCACTTGCCCTCTGCCTCTCCCTTCTAATCCCTACAGCTGAAGAATCCTGATGTACTGTCTGAGAAGACCGAACTAATGTATGCTCCAGAGGACAAGCTCTTCGTTGTAAAGATGGTTCATTCAGCCCCTGGCGGGGGATGAATGAAATAGATATATGGGATTAAGAATACACCTATTGTGATTAGCAATAAGTAATGTATAGAATTTATAGAATTTTGAATCATTATATTGCACACCCCAAACTAATGTGACACTGATTAATTATACTTCAATTTAAAATAAATGGTTTTGGGGGCACCTGGGTGGCTCAGACTTTAAGCATCTGCCTTCAGCTCAGATCATGATCCCGGGGTCCTGGGATCGAGCCCCGTGTCAGGCTCCCTTTTCCACGGGAAGCCTGCTTCTCCCTCTCCCACTCCCCCTGTGTTCCCTCTCTATGTGTCTGTCAAATAAATAAAATCTTAAAAAAAAATAAATGGTTTTGCCCTTGTATGGCTTTGGATAAATATACTTCAATTATCTCATTCTTTGTTCTATAAAATGGGACTAAGAGCATTCTACTTCATTCTGTTGTCAGATGTGCTTGGATTTAGGAAATACCGGATCATTCATGTTAAAAGCAGTAGAATCATGAATATTGTCATTATCCTCTGAATCTTTTGACAACCACTATCCTTATTTATTTCACCTTAAGTTTTGCTTTTTCTAGAAATTCCTGTAAATGGGATCACAGAGTATGTATGCTTATGTCTACTTATTTCTCTCTGCATAATGTCTTTGAATTTTATCCATGTTATTTAGTATATCAGATTTTCATTCCTTTTTATTGCTGAGTAGGATTCCATCACATAGAGATTTCACAATTTCTTTACCATTCTCCTGATAATGGATATTTGGGTTATTTACAATTTGAACTGTTGTGAATAAATCTAAGAGCATTCTTATTATAAGTGTTTTCATAGACACATTCTTTTTTAATTTCTCTTGGATAAATACCTAAGAGAGGGCTTGATGGAATCAACGAGGGAGAGGTGTATATTTAATTTTATAGGAAACTGCCGAAATGTTTCCCAAAGTGGTTGTACCATTTTATGGTCATGCCAACAATGTATGAGTGCTCTGGTTGTTGACAAAAATTCTCTCCTTGACCAAACTCTGTCAGACTCCTCTAAACTCTCTTCTCAAGTAGGCCCTGATTTTCAGACAGAGTTTGTCTTTGTGCTGTCCAATTTTAGCAAGAATCCTGCCAAGTCCTTTTAACCAGAATTTCCCCTCCGATGATATCTGGTCAGGTTCCTCATTCTCCACCATCGCCGGGGTGGTACCTGATCGTTTTGGCAGGCCTTCAGCAAGAGCCCCTTGGGTTGATTTAGCCAGAATCTTCTCTCTTACCCCTGATGTTTCCCCTTAGTAAATTTTCCTTCACTAAACCTCTCTCTGTTCCTGTTCCAGGCTATACCTTCCCACTATCCCTTGTTGGACTTGGAGTTGAGCCTAGGCTAGCCTAAAAGAAAAACCCCATTGTAGTAGTAGTCCTCCTGAATAAAGCCTGCCTTACTGTTTAACAAATGTCGTGAATGATTTTTTAACATTATTCCACATCTTTACCAAGATTTGGTGTTTTCAGACTTCTAATTTTATTTATTCTACTGAGTGTAATGATATCTCAGTGTGGTTTTAATTTCCATTTTCTTGACAACTAATGATACTGAGCACTCTTATGTGTGTATTGACTATTATATCTTTGTTTCTAAAGTGTCTGTGCAAGTCTTTTACCCATATTTTAAAAGATGCATGCTTGGGCGCCTGGGTGGCTCAGATGGTTAAGCGTCTGCCTTCGGCTCAGGTCATGATCCCAGGGTCCTGGGATCGAGTTCCGCATCGGGCTCCTTGTTAAGCAGGGAGTCTGTTTCTCCCTCTCCCTCTGCCTTTCCCCCTGCTTCTTCTCTCTCTGTCTCTCCCGCAAATGAATAAATAAAAATCTTTAAAAAAATAAATAAAAAGATGCATGCTTGATTTTTATAAAAACAAACTTTAGGAGCTTGCAATACATTCTGGAAACAGGTACTTTATCAGATATATTTAGCATCAGTCTATGGCTTGCTTTTTTCCTTTCATAATGGTGTCTTTTTGAGTAGATTTTTTTTAAATGCTGATAAAGTCTAATTTACTATTCCTTTCTCTTATAATGATTTTTTTTCTGTGCCCTGTGCTAGGAATATTTGCCTACCCAGTTCACAAAGATATTTTCATATGTTTTTTCTAAAAACTTTAATGTTTTGATCCATGAGTCATAAAAAATTAACTTTTGTGAGACAGGAATAGGGTTTACTTCAGCACCACTGGCTTCAATGACATTCCTTTACCCATTGAATTGGTTTAAGTCTTTATTGAAAACCAACCAACCACAGGGCGCCTGGGTGGCTCAGGTGTTAAGTGTCTGCTTTCAGCTCAGTTCATGATCCCAGCGTCCAGGGATCAAGCTCCGCATTGTGCTCCCTGCTCAGTGGGAAGCCTGCTTCTCCCTCTCTCACTGCCCTTGCTTGTGTTCCTGCTCTCCTTGTGTCTCTGTCAAATAAATAAAAAAAAGAAAAGAAAACCAACTGACCATATAGGTGTGAATCTATTTCAGGCCTCTCAACTCAGTTCAGTTTATCTATACTATTTATTTTCCTTATGCTATTGCCCACTGCTTTGCTTAGGAGAGCTTACAGTAAGTCTTAAAGTTAGATAGTATAAGTTTGCCACCTTTTTTTTTTTTTTTTTAAAGAGAGAGAACGAACGAGGAGGGGAAAAAGGAGAGAGAGAATCTTAAGCGGACTCCATGTCCAGGGTGGAATCCAATCTCACAACCCTGAGATCACGACCTGAATCAAGAGTCAGACGCTTAACTGACTGAACCACCCAGGCACCCCTTAGTTTGCCAGCTTTGTATTTTTTTTTTTTGCACAGCTCAATAAATTTTGAAATATGCATATACTTATGTAATCACCACACAGATCAAAGTATGCTGTCACTTTGCCACTCTCACTTTAGTATTGTATCCATATCCTTACCTGTACTGGTTGATCATGTGGCTAAAGATATTTTGTACCCTCTGAAGAGAATAAATCTTCAGTTGTCTGCAAAGATAATGGAGAGGCACAATGTCTACAATACGTAGCATTTCCTCTGGATTTTTTTCTTGAAGTAAAATTAGTTCACTTTCAAGGCCTTTTAATTATTTCTGATCATGAAAAATAATGTGTTATTTAAATTTTCTGCTTAATTCTAGGGAGAGTCTTATGGAGAGCCCCATTTGCTACACTGACTTGTCAAACATAAGGTTGCAGATTGGCAACTCCAGGAGAGTGGATTTTTTTCTTTTTTGGGGGGATATGAAGGAAGATCGGAGTGAGGTTTAGATACAGTAGGAGGAAGAATAAGCTGGAACCAGTAAATTGATTTTAGGGTTTGGCCATGGATATCAGATTTTGGATAAAAGGAGGCTGGATGGTTATATATGACAGGAAAAATTTTAATGGAAATATCAGATATTTAAAGGCTATCTTATGACACTTTATCATTAGTTCTTCTTTTCTGTGTAAAAATAGCAAAAGGTGGACTTGATGTACTTATTATATATTTTTTGAATGCATATTTAAGTAAGTTCCACAAACAATGCACTGCAAGTTAAGACAGGCCTAACCCGGGGGTCAAACCTACCTGGCTGAAGTGCCCCGAGGTGTGTGACACACTCAACTGTAGTTGCTGTGGTGTCACCTGTTGGGATGGGGCCCCCAAATGTGGGGCCTGCCTGGTGGGGGGGGGGCGGTGGCACCGGTGGTGAAAGCACTCATCTGAGGCAGGACAAAGGAGATAGAAGTTTATTGAATACACTGCAAGGAAGTATCGGGCAGGTCAGCAAAGCAGAGACCATCTGCAACCAGGCAGTGGGTGGGGGCTGTATTTAAAGGAGGAAGGTGAGGAGGTATGGCGACTATGGTATTTTCCCTTTTTTTGGTAACCATGTCTGGTTGTAAATAGCCCATTGGTTAGCTAGGGCCTACAGATATTTTGAGGCGGGTCACCTGGTATTCAGCCAGGGGATTGCTGTGGGCCCTTTCTACATTCTGTCACTCAAACCTGTTACGGCCTCTACAGATGCTTTCTCTAGTTTCCCCCACACCTGAAAGTCCTCATTCAAAACCTATTAGAAACCACTTCCTTTGCTAAAAGATTTTAAAGTACTTTTACTTCAAATAAGTGCATTAAAAATAAACTTACCAGGGGCGCCTGGGTGGCTCAGTTGGTTGTGTCTGCCTTTGGCTCAGGTCATGATCTCCTGGGATCCAGCCCTCAAGTCAAGTCGGGGGCTCCCTGCTCGGCTGGGAGTCTGCTTCTCCTTCTCCCTCTGACCCTCCCCCCAACTCATGCTCTCTCTCTCCCAAATAAATAAATAAAATCCTTAAAATTAAAAAAAAATAAACTTACCAGTTGCATCCTTGGAATCCACAGAAAGCCCAGGGAGAGATGTTCAAGTGCCAAAAGGCACAGGGGCTGCTTACTCACTGGTAGATGATGTGGAAAACAAAGGCAGAAGAAAAATTATTAAATTTCCTTACTCCGGGGGCGCCTGGGTGGCTCAGTCGTTAAGCATATGTCTTTGGCTCAGGTCATGATCTCACGGTCCTGGGACATGATCCCAGAGTCCTGGGATCGATCCCCACACCAGGCTCCCTGCTCAGCCTGCTTCTCCCTCTCCCACATCCCCTGTTTGTGTTCCTGCTCTCGCTGTCTCTCTCTCTCTGTCAAATAAATAAATAAAATCTTTTTTAAAAAATGTCCTTACTATCTACGGCCCATTGATCAGTCCTTGAAACAGGCAGAATGACGTTCCTCTAGAAACTCAGCTGCCTGAATGTTAATACTTTGCCGAGGGCACAAGGCAATCTAGCCCAATCCCCACGATCCTGTAAGTCTACTTTAACAAATAAAAATTCCTTTGGAAACTTCCTTTATCTCTACCCCACAAGATACATGTTGGCAATCATTGCCCAAGCATATGATCCACCCATATACACCTGAAGGGTCTCATGACTCGGGTTTTATTAGACAGTAATAAATGACCTTTTCCCAACAATAGCTAGCCCCCTCAAGATCCTGGAAACCTTGCTTCCAAAATTCCTCAGAGACCTCCACCATCCCTAATCCCCTCGCAACTTGAGAGTACATAGTCAACCACTCCTCATCACCCCGGAGCAGCTCTTTCTGCCCACCCGTCCTGTCCCCCGCTTTAATAAAACCACCTTTTTGCACCAAAGACATCTCAAGAATTCTTTCTTGGCCCTCGGCTTCGAACCCTAACGTCTTTCCTCTACCAGTAGCCAGGCCGAGGCTTTGGCTCCCACTGAAGACGGGAACTCGACTCACCTTCACCAGCGCCAGGACCCCGATTTCCTCTTCATGCGGTTTTCAGATGAGGAAAATCGCATGGAGTTCTTCCCTTCCCTTGGCTCTATTTCCACCTCTCCCTCTCTGTCTCTTCCAGAGCGTCTGGGAACCTAATACTGGGCAGGACCGAGAGGGGGGGCTGCCCTTCTCCTCCCGGTCCCTCCCGCCTGGGCGTCCTGGCAGCTCGGTCGGGCCGGGACGTTAGGGCCCGCGGGGGCGAGCTGCGGGGCCGCGAGGGCAGCGGGGGCGGGGGGGCCGCGAGTTCGCCGCCCGCGTCCGCGCGCATCGCGCACCTGCGCGTCGCCGGCCCCGACGCACTGAATCGACGCCGCCCGGAGCTGGTCCGCCGGCCGCACGCAGGGGCGCAGGGCTCGCACCGGCCAGAGGGGCCGCGCTGAGGGGGCCCGGCGCTGCCCCTGCCCCTGGAGGCCGGGCGCGGAAGAGGCTAGTTTGACGCGCAGAGCGCAGGGAGAGTGTCCACGGCGGCCCAGGCCCGGTCCCGAGGTTAACGGTCCCAAAGCCTGAAGCGTTAGCGGAGCGGGGCTCGCGAGTGGAGTCCTTCTCGCCGCCTGTACCGGGGGAGTCGTTTGCCGAAAGCGGGCCGCAAGGAGAAGCGTGGCTCCAGGGCCGCGGCCAACGAAAGAAGACACACGAGTTTCCGACCGAGCGGCTGTGTGGCGGGAGCAAGGCCGGCGTCCAAGAGAACAGTTAGGGCCCGAGCGTGCAGAGCCGCGGCGGAGGTAGGGTGGAAGCGCGGGGCGGCGGGTCGTAGGGGGAAGACCCGGGGTCCAGTTCGGGGCCGCCGAACCTTCCCGAAAGCGGTCTCGGTCCGCGCCGCCTCGGCTGCTGCGTCCCCCGGAGTCCGCCGGGTGATGTTGGGGACCCCGGGTCTCATGGGTGCCTCTCCTCGGCAACCTCGCCCACTCTTTGCTGAGGAAAGGAGTTGGTGAAAACAGGCCTAAACAAACGATTTGACTCCAAGAGCCTTTTCCAGAGTCTCCTCCTGCTGCTCACCTCCAGAGCCAGCGACTGTCATGACCCTCCCCCGGTGCTGCTTTACCAAAAGTCTTGCTTAGGGGAATGTAAAATAAGCAGGGGTGATAATGCTTTTCTTGAACGTGCTGCTCTCACTTGGGGCTCATTCTTGTCCTTAATTTTACCAAGACCACCAAAGTCAAGGGCCTACTTCCACTTCCACAGAAAAGTCTGAGGCCCCTTCTCTGTAGCTTCCCTCATCATGTTCACGCTAATTCTTCCACACAAACCTTTCCTTTCCTTAGGCGGCTAATGCCTCCCCAATCACCAGGGTATCTGCTGAGCTCCACAGTTTCCCTCCTTCCTGGATCTTCATCTCTTGATACTCACTCCAGAGTGAGACGCTCAGTGGTCAGACCCAAGACCCAGCATGCTAATCAGTGACCTGTCGTCGCCTAAAATTCCAGACATCTGCCCGCAGAAAGATCAGAAGTAGCAATGGCTTTGGTTTCAAGTATTCAAAATGACCCACCATACTCACCTGTCCTTTCAAAGCCAGAGAGCTCTGAAAAAATCCCCTGGTTAGAGCCTGTTCTGCTCTGGAATTAACCTAAGGGGTATAGTTGCCCTTTTTCCTTTTTAGCGTTGCCTCCTGAGACCCACAACCCTGTAATAACCTGTCCTGCCAGTGCAATAGATAATCCAACAGAAGCACTGGACACGTAAAAGTGCAAGGAAAACCCTCCTTTGACCAGCAGTGGAACCCAGACCTCCCACAAGGAAGGCCAGAATTCTGCTACTGAACCACTGATGCTTGTTTCTCAACTGCTGGAGTAGGTCTAATCAGAACAAGTCTCTGGAAGGACTTTGAAAAAGCAATTCTAAAACAGCTTTACACAGCTCTTCTCTTTGGAAAACAGGTAGCACATAGAAAACACTTGCAGCAAAGACTTGCATAGGGGATTTATGTAAAGTAGCACTATAAAGTAATGACACTCAAATCAAAATACCTGATTTGAAAGAGCCTAATTGGGGGGGGGTAGCAGGAATCTCTTCCCAAGTAGATAGTAGACTTCTAGAAAAATATCAGAAAATGGGGCACCTGGTTGGCTCAGTTCGTAGAACATGCAACTCAATCTCAGTGTTGTGAGTTTGAGCCTCATGTTAGGTGTAGAGATTACTAAAAATCTTTTTTTTTTTTTTTTTTTTTACAGAGACACAGCGAGAGAGGGAACACAAGCAGGGGGAGTGGGAGAAGGAGAAGCAGGCTTCCTGCCAAGCAGAGAGAGCAGAGAGCCGGATGCAGGACTTGATCCCAGGACCCCGAGATCATAACCTGAGCCAAAGGCAGATCCTTAATGACTGAGCCACACAGGCACCCGAGATTACTAAAAATCCTAAAAAAAAAAATTAGTTCAGACTCTTGTGTCTGGTCCTAAATCTAGTGTGGACCTATGGAAAGCTAATTTCCTCCCTGGCTGAAGCAAACTCTGCCCTTCCATTGCTTGGTGCCTCCCAAACACTTTCCTCCCATTTTTTTTTCACCAGTTCTTTATGAAAGTTCAGGAGGCTGGCTCTTTGCGTATGCGCTGAGTTACTAATGGAAAATTGGGGTGATAATTGAGTTTCTCACCTCTGAAGCTTCTTTTCAGTGTCTAGAAAAGCCCAAGGAAAAAATAGTCCAGCTTTTAAACTGTGATGTCTTTAAACTGCTATCAACTGTGATGATAGCAGAGACCTATACAGGATGGATAAAAAGTGAAAATTCCAAATTTCTTTCCTTCATCACACCATCTTGGCCACAGAAGGCAGTCAGGGAAAAACAATTTGACATGTCCTGTAGACACTAGAATATCACTTCCTCAACCAATTTAAAAGTGTCCTCCTGCCCTTTGTATGAGAGTCATATCTTCACTTACAGTGCCTTACAATTAGCCTGGTACAGACTTGTACTATTCTCTTTTTTTTTTTTTTTAAGATTCTATTCATTTATTTGACAGAGAGGGAGAGAGAACACAAGCAGGGGGAGTGGGAGAGGGAGAAGCAGGCTTCCCGCTGAGCAGGGAGCCAGGCATCGGGCCTGGCTCCATGCAGGGCTCCATGCGGGGCTTGATCCCAGAACCCCGGGATCATGACCTGAGCAGAAGGCAGACGCTTAATGACAGAGCTACCCAGGTGCCCCTAGACTTGTACTATTCTTAATATATAGCCCTTTTCTGTCTAACACACTGCCGTAGCTGGAACTTAACTTTTACACCCAATTTGAGAGGATTTGAATCCATTGTAATTGGTTGTATTTAGTGTTGGTTGGAGATTGCTGACAGTTGTTTTCACTTCCACCACCTCATTGTGTGATTTCTGTTGTTAAAAAAAAATTTCTCCCTGCCCGAGTCCTGAGATCAAGTCCCACATTGAGCTCCTTGCTCAGCAAGGAGCCTGCTTCTCCCTCTGCCTGCCGTTCCCCCTGCTTGTGCTCTATCAGATAAATAAATAAGATCTTTAAAAAAAAGAGTAACATTAGTTTATAAGTCATCCCAAGGTGGCCACTACATGTATTCAAAGACATACACAAAAACTCTTTCAGGGGCGCCTGGGTGGCTCAGTCCTTAAGCATCTGCCTTCGGCTCAGGTCATGATCCCAGGGTCCTGGGACCGAGCCCTGCGTCAGGCTCCCTGCTCAGCGAGAGCCTGCTTCTCCCTCTCCCTCTGCTTGCCGCTCTGCCTACTTGTGCTCTCTCTCTGTTTCTCTGTCAAATAAATAAATAAAATCTTAAAAAAAAAAACTCTTTCAATGACTTTGACAAATGGGAAAGATACCCTGTGGAGCTAGACAGAATTTCGTTAAGTGACAATCACAATATATGTATATAGAGATTAAAACACAAAGTGATCCCCACATACAGGAGGAGGGCGGGGCTAGGAAATAGGGATGTCAAACTCGACTTCCAAGTTTAATGAAAAGCCAATATATTTCCTCAATGAGGGAAAAGAAGCAGACATAACCCTGGGCTATGGCAAGAAGAAAATTCAGACACAGGATAGAAATCTTCGTAAATTAATTATTCACGCACTGAATATTATACTCAGAATTTTTCTTATAATATCAAACTGATGTGGAATAAAGCTAGAGAACCAAAGAAGAACACCAAGACTACCAAAAAGTTTTAAATTTTTCCTGACGGAAAAGTGAAGTGACTTCATGACAGTCCTTAAGACAATGAAAGAATCTGGGAAAATATTGATTCCTTCATGTTTTCTATGCACTTACAAGAATAAACAATGAAAAATATGCTTAAATTTTAGAAAGAGGTGTGGTATCAACACATGGGCGCACAAACACTGAGAGTGGCTGCTGGGAGTTTGGGGGGGACTCCCCATCAGTGGTGACCTTCTCAACAGACCAGGTGACCTTGTGTATCAGCGAGGCCTCAGCAACTGGAAGACAGGGGTCCCTAAGATTCCATGACACCCCCCACTTTCCAGTTCTGTTATTGTGACTCCAAAGAGTTACCTGGCAGGCTGGGTACTCCGTCTGGCACTCTTACCAGAGGCTGAGTTGCAGGAAGTGCTCCAGGCTCTGAGCTCTGGTATCTTCTACCTTGTTTTTGTGGTTAAGAATTCTTACAGTTATGGAATGCTGACAAAGTTTGGCCCCAAAGTAAGTATGAATTACATCTGCATACTTTAGACCTGTTTAAGTCCATTTTTCCCCACCTAATGAAATTTTGAGGTATAATTTACAAACTATAAAACTCACTTATTAGGATTGTACAGTTTAATGATTTTTAGTAATTTACCAGGCACTGCAGCCATCACCATAATCTCTTCACTTGTTTCTAATTATTTACTGGGTTTCTGCTCCCCAGGTCCTGGCTCTACTTCTTCTACCACCACAAGCTTCAGCATGGCAGAATCTCTCACCACTTTCTCTGATCCGAGGACAGAAATGAGCATTCTGGAAATCAACCAGTACTTGTGCTCCCAGCTGGAAAAAAACGAACAGAACTTCCGAGACCTCACGGAGAAATTCCTCATATCCAAAGCTACTGCTTACACCCTGGCCAACCAGCTGCAGAAATACAGTAAGCCCTATGGGTTCACAGTCACCAGAGTGATAAATGATTGTCTAACTTCCCTATGAGAAACTAAACACTCTCCAAACTTTATTCTTCTCTCTCCATCAAAATTAATCTCATCTTGACTATACTCCTGGAAAGGTAGAAGTGGGTATTTTACCCTCAATTTGCAGAAGATGGAAACACTGAGGCACAAAGGAGTAGAGTTTACAGTGAGAGGTAGGGAGGCAGAGAGGCTAAAACCCTGGTTCAGGCACTGAACTATCTTTTCTCTCTCAGGAACATGTGTCAGATTCTAGAAACATATAGTATCACTGTTGGCTTAAATATCTCGGGATTCAATTCCAACTTTTACTAAGTACCCTTTGCAAAGCATTGTGCTAGCTGCCCTAGGACTGTACTAGTATTCTCGATCTGCCATAAGAGCTTAAAGCTGTCTGTTCCCCACTGAACCGCAGATACCTGGAGATCAGAACATCAATAGCAGATGCAGAGGGAAGTCCTGATGCCTGGAGCAAGACTTTTTTTCCCATATGAGTTTTTTTTTTAAAGATTTATTTATTTATTTTATTTGAGAGAGAGAGAGATTGAGAGAGAGAGAAAGCACATGAGATGGGGGGAGGGTCAGAGGGAGAAGCAGACTCCCTGCCGAGCAGGGAGTCCGAAGCGGGACTCCATCCGGGGACTCCAGGATCATGACCTGAGCCGAAGGCAGTCGCTTAACCAGCTGAGCCACCCAGGCACCCTCCCATATGAGTTTTAAGAAGCTGTTCCTCACACTCTGGTGAGATTGAAAGTATTTCCAGGAAAATCAGAGACTCTGTAACACCTTTTCAATCTCTCCCTGAATATGAACTTTGCAGACAGCAAGCTAGTCCAGGATCTGGGCTTTGAGACGTGGAGCCAAAATGAGAATGGAGGAGCTGGCCCTTCCCTTTCCACCCTCAGCTCTCACATTTGGAAATCCTTGGACAATCCCAAACCTGTGGGTAATGGGGGGGGCCAGAGGGGAAGCAGCAGGAAGCTGTAGTGACTGAAGGAACCATGATGGAAGTGAGGACACATAAGAGAGGAATATTAGAGGAAGATTCTTGCTAATATTGAAGTAGAGTTTGCTTTCAAATTTCTACAGTTATTTTTCAATAAATCAATGGGGGATAAAATTTGCTACCCAACTTACTAGACATGGAGAAAAAAGCTAAAAAGCCTACTTTTTAAAGAAGGAAAAGGGCTTCTGGGTGGCTCAGTTGGTTAAGTGACTGCCTTCAGCTCAGGTCATGATCCCAGGGTTCTGGGATCGAGCCCCACATCGAGCTCCCTGCTCCCTGGGATCAAGCCCCGCTTCGGGCTCCCTGCTCCTCAGGGAGCCTGCTTCTCCCTCTCCCTCTGCCTGCCACTCCCCCTGCTTGTGCCCTTTCTATCAAATAAATAAATAAAATCTTAAAGAAGGAAAAGATGAACTTTGGGGTGTGGAAATATAAGGGTTTTTTTTTTACATTATTCATTAAAATCACAATTGAAGACAAATTTTTTGAAGCTAGAGAAGAAAGGAGATATCACCCTAGATCTTAGTATAATGATAATACAGTGCAGTGATTAAGAGCATGTATCCTGGGCCAGACTCCTGGGGTCAAATCCAAGTTATCTTCTTTGTACCTCACTTTCCTCATCTGTAATGGTAATAATAATATTTACCTTTTTAGCTAGTGGTGATGATTACATGATAATAATTCTTGAAAATCTACTAGAACAGTGTCATGGAAGCACTATGTATTAGTTCTCCCTCTATTCTAACACAACACCTGGTAGCATTGGAACATATATCTTTCAGATTTTTTCCCCTCCGTATACATATTACACAGTTGTATCCAGATACTTGGATATCTTTGAAATATTGGGGGGATTATTGAAACTCTCAACATGGGAGAACTATCCGTCCTACAGACTTTGGAGCTTTCCCCAACACACAGGAAATCACTACTTCATTCATGTCCCAGGTTAATGGTTTCCCTAAGAGGCTAGAGGCTTGGTAAAGTGGCCCAAGATTTGGAGTCAGACCTCAGGGGATATGAATTCTGACTTGTCTCCTTCCAGTTCAATTATCTTGAGTAAGTTACCTGCCCATGAGCTTCTCTTTCCTCATACCTAAAATGCCATGTAGGGGCGCCTGGGTGGTTCAGTAGTTAAGCGTCTGCCTTCAGCTCAGGTCATGATCCCAGGGTCCTGGGGCTCCCTGCTCAGCAGAAAGCCTGCTTCTCCCTCTCCCACTCCCCCTGCTTGTGTTCCCTCTCTCGCTGTGTCTCTCTCTGTCAAATAAATAAAATCTTTAAAAAAAAATAAAATGCCATGTAGTCTGGGAGATTGAGGAATGAGATGTGGAGCTCCCAGCATGGAGCCTGGTTGCCAGGGATGGACCCTGCTTCCTCCTTTGAAGGCAGCGAGCACAGCAGCATGTCGAGCTTTCCCCTGAGGCAGGTGTGTCTGTTTTCTCAGAGTGTGAAGAGTACAAAGGCCTCATCGAATCCGTGCTGGAGGAAGAAGTACAGTTTGACAGGCAGCTGGCAGAGAAGATGACACCAGCTGCAAGGCTTGGGTAAGTAGGTACCTGTGTGGGAAAGTGTGAAGTACTATTTGAAGTGGGGCAGCCCAGGCTGCTAGTGTAAAGAGCGCATTTGTCCAAGGAGAGGGATAGAGAAGTACGCGGCGGGCACAGAACTAGATAAAGACAACTGGCGGGGCTGTGGGAATTGGGGGGTAGTGTAGTTAGGTCTCTAGGGTTCTCCCTTAAATATCATAGGAATAAAATGGAGAGGGACACCTGAGATGGAGTACTAGCAATGTGGCTTCTAGCTGTGTGACCTTGGGCAAATTTACTTAACTTTCTGTTTTTTAAAAGATTTTATTTATTTATTTGACACAGAGAGAACCAGAGAGAGAGAGACAGAGCAAGCACAAGCAGGGGGAACAGCAGGCAGGGGAGAAGCAGACTCCCTGCCGAGAAAGGAGCCCAACGTGGGGCTCAATTCCAGGACCCTGGGATCATGACCCGAGCCGAAGGCAGCTGCTTAACCAATTGAGCCACCCAGGCGCCCCAAATTTACTTAACTTTCCTGAATCTTAGTTACCTCAACTGAGGTACAACTTCCTCTGTAAAATGAAAATACTAACAGTATCATAACCCTCAGAGGGTTATGAAGATTAAATGCATGATTACAAGTTAGAACTATCTCTGACACACATGAAGCTCTCAACAAATATTTTCTGTAATTGTTATACTTTATTTACTTATTTTTTTAAAGATTTTATTTATTTATTTCGCAGAGAGACACAGCGAGAGAGGGAACACAAGCAGGGGGAGTAGGAGAGGGAGAAGCAGGCCTCCCGCTGAGCAGGGAGCCCGATGTGGGGCTTGATGCGGGGCTCGATCCCAGGACCCTGGGGCCATGACCTGAGCTGAAGGCAGACGCTTAACGACTGAGCCACCCAGGCACCTCTATACTTTTATTTTATTTTATTTATTTATTTTTAAAGATTTTATTTATTTATTTGAGAGAGAATGAGAGATAGAGAGCACAAGAGGGAAGAGGGTCAAAGGGAGAAGCAGACTCCCTGCTGAGCAGGGAGCCCGATGTGGGACTCGATCCCGGGACTCCAGGATCATGACCTGAGCCAAAGGCAGTCGCTTAACTAACTGAGCCACCCAGGCGCCCTATACTTTTATTTTTTTATAGGTGTGGTGGTTGTCATTAATGGACTAACATTTTCTACTACAAGAAATATTTTCCAAGCTTTCCAAAGTGTCTTTTCATGACAAAAATGTTTCTCCTTCTCAACCTTGATTTTTTTTTTCTAAGTATCATACTATGTGGAGTACTAACTGGTAGGGCTATTGGGTATATAGATAATCAAGCAGCTGTTGTCTGGAAAATAGTTTATTAATAATTTAATACTGAGTACTAGCATTGTTTATCCTCAGAGGGTTTCACATGTAAGGCAGATTGTGGCATTCAAGATGTCTTTTAACCCTTTGTTGAAATGAAATCTGAGAAGCTCAAATATGTAAAATCTAAAGCAGAGATACTTGATTGAAGGAAGCCTAGGTCTAGAGCCTCTGTTCTCTAGTCTATGCCTTCACCAGCTCTGACACTTTACAGAAGCTCTATGGAATAGAGTTTGAAAGACAATCTGGAGACTAGCACTTAGTAGGACAGCAGGGAGGAGATTCAGGCATCAGATGAGGTAGATGACTATAAATGTCTAGTCCAGCTTTAGGATTATGTTGTTCTATGTGGTATTAACTGAATACCTACTTGTGTATGCACACTCTGTTGGGTACTGTAAGTTGCGTAATATGTGGCACTATCTCTAGCCTCAGAGAGCTTGCATTTTAGATTGGAATCCATGCAAAATATTTGTATAATCATTAGAAAATGGTGAAAACCCACTTAGAATGATGTAATTGTTGTAACTCAGAACTTTATTTACTCTTTAGTGTCTCCTTACTGATTATGGCTTATTTTCATGTCACTGAAAAGAATGCTATGCTTCTTGACCCTTTCATTGATTTTTCTTTTCATCCTTTGAATCAACACCACATGTACCCATCCACACTTCTATATCTGGCTTGTGCATGTGTGCACGCCACTTTCTGCATAATGCTTGATGATATATATTCCATGGAAATGGATGTGGGCTGAATTGAAGAACTGAAGGGGCATCTTTTCAAAGTAAAGTTCATAAAAAACAAAGAAACAAACCCAATGCTGTTTCCTCATTCCCTCTGCCAGAGGCAAGTCATACAACTTGTGTAAAAATTCAACTTGGGAAATTCCTTAGTGGCATTCTACGAGATGTCTCTGCTGAAACTCCCATAACCTATGCACTGTTACATTTTACTTGTTTTTCTTACTTTAGGAAATATGATCCCCTAATTCAGGCTCAGGCGCGAGAACTGACCCACTTACGACAGAGGATACAGGAAGGGAAAGGTGTCTGTTATCTTTTCATTCAGCATACAAAGAGCACGGTCAAGTCTTTTGAAGCCCTCTTCAGGAGCACTGACATTGCCCGCTACCAGGGACAGAGATTCTGTGAACAACTGGCCCAAGGAAGCCAACTGGCAGAGAACCTTGCCAGCAAACTCACCACTGGTAGGTTGGCTTACAGGCTATGGAGACCCTTAGATCCTCACAAAGATTCTAGCCTCACATAAGTCTCCATGCTTCCAGGAAGAGTGACTTTTTAGCCAGATGTCCTACTGTTTTGTGCCCTTCTCAGCCTATTGATGGTGATGCTATCAGGTAGAAATACCTACCGGGGCTTACCTGGGCCCAGGGTGAGCCCCCACAGACATTTCCTCTTTCTTTTAAGGATAATTGATTTACAGTAAAATGGCCCACTGTAGTGTCAGTGCTGTGAGCTTTCAGAAATGCATATAGGGTGGTGTAAGCACCACCACAATCAAGATACAGAATAGTTCCATTACCACTAAAAGTTCCTTTGTGCCTCTACGTAGTCAACCATTGTCTCCCGCCCCAGTTTCTGGAAGCCACTGAATCTGTTTTCTGTTCCTACAGATTTTCCATCTCCAGAATGTATCAGTGGTTTGTTTCTTTTTCTACTGTTGAGTACTATTCCATTATATAGATATACTACATTTATTTATTTACCCATTGAAGGACATTTGGATTATTTCCAGTTTCGGGCAATTATGAATAATAGCTATAAAGATTCACATACAGGTTTTTGTGTGAAAATACATTTTCACTTCACTTCAGTTGGGTAAATATGTAAGAGTGGGGTTGCTGGGTCACGTGGTATGTGAAGAAGAAACTGCCACACTGTTTTTCAGTGTGGCTATACCATTTCAGATTCCCACTGGCGATGTGTGAAAATTTCAGTTGTTCCCCAATATCAACTTTTGATAATTTCAGGTTGTTGTTCTTTTGCTTTTTGTCTTTTTAGCAATTTTAATAAGCATGGGGGCAGGGAAGGCATTGTGGTTTAATTTGCATTTCCTTAATGACTAATGATTTTAAGGATCTTTTCAAATGCCTATGGACTCTCCTTATATCTTTGGTGAAGCCAGTGTTCAAACATTTTGTCATTTTAAAATTGAGTTGTTTGTTTTCTTATTATCAAGTCTTAAGGGTTCTTTACATTTCTGCATACAAGTCCTTTATGAGATATTAAATTTGCAAATATTTTCTCCTGGACTATGGCTTATCTTTTCAGTCTCTTCACAGTGTCTTTCAGAGAGCCGAATTTCTTAATTTTAATGAAGTCCAACTTACGGATCATGCTTTTGTGGTTATATCTAAGAACTCTTTTCCTAAAACAAGGTCCTTTGCCTTTCCACATAAATTTTACAATCAGCTTGCCATTATCTGTTAAAAAGTGACAGCAACAAATTCCTCTTGGGATTTTGAGTGGCATTGCTTTGAATTTATGAAAAATTTGAAGAGAATTGACATTTTTAATAATACTGAGTTTTCTGGGGCACTTAAGTGGCTCATTCGGTTGAGTGTCTGACTCTTGGTTTTGTCTCAGGTCATGATCTCAGGGTCCTAGGATTGAGCCCTGTGTGGGTTCTCTCCCTCTGCCCCTCCCCCACTCTCTCTCAAATAAATCAATCTTAAAATAATATTGAGTTTCCTAATTAATGATCATAGTGCCATATTAGGTTGAGGAAGTTCCCTTTTTGATTTTTTTGTTTTATTTATTCATATTTGAATGAACAAACAAATCTTTTGTTTTTTGTTTTATGATGGTGACTGCTGACAACAGGAAAAAAAAAATTATGTCTCCTAATGCAAACATGAGGAGGCGTGGTCCAACCAAGAAATGTTTCCACCTTATTTGAGGAAATTCCTTTTTATTCCTTATTTTCTGAGAGTTTTATTTTGAATAGATGTTGAATTCTATCAAATGCTTTTTAATCATTTACTGAAATGGTTGAATATTATATCATATATATATAATGGGTCCTGTTAAAACCCTCCGGAAATTATTTTTTTTAAGATTTTATTTATTTATTTGACAGAGAGAGACACAGCAAAAGAGGGAACACAAGCAGGGGGACTGGGAGAAGGAGAAACAGGCTTCCTGCTGAGCAGGGAGCCCGACCTGGGGCTTGATCCCAGAACCCTGGGATCATGACCTGAGCCAAAGGCAGACACTTAACGACTGAGCCACCCAGGCACCCCTGGAAATTATTTTTTAGCAGGCAATCAACCCCATTAGGGTCAGACTCCCAAGTCTGTCTCACCTTCTATAGGCAGTGGTTCCAATGTCAGGCGAGCGTTCAGTACCTTTGATATGCTGCTGTTTGGGTTGGTCCAGCAAATATGTTACTCAGGCTTAGTCTGGAGTAGGTGGTGGTTTATGGGGTAATTCAGTTCTCTAATCCTTTGTCATGATCTGTTGGGCCTATTCCACACATATTCGGTTTGTGGATGAATCCTGGTACTTTTGTCAGCTCATAGACCGTTTTCCAGCCTCTCTTCTCTATGGTATTTCTTCTATACTTTCAAGTTCCCAAGGGTCCCTTTTCCAAGTTCCTCTGTTTAGAAAGATTGAGTTTTCTCAGAGATTTCTCTTCTCACAATGTGTTGCAGTTCTGCATGACTGAGGCTACTTTGAGAGCAAGGAGGCAAGAAAATTGAGAAATAGAAAATAAAAGGGAGCACTCTTCACACGTTTTAGGCAAGAGGTCCCTTTTTCCCGGTTCTTTTGATGAGAGAGTTAGATTCTCTTTCGTGGTTCAGGTCACTCTTCAGCTGCCTTGACAATACAGTTCAGCAACTGTGCTGGTCTCTAGGTGGGGTCAGGGGGAAAAAAGGAGGAAAAAAAGGAGGGAAGATTCTCTTCACACACTCTGGCATGCACAAGTGCCTTTGTCAAGATTTGGTTAGAAAGGTTCAGTGGGTTCTCCTGAAGTTATTGCTCTTCAGAGACTGCAGTGTGTTCTTTATGAGAGCCTAAAAGGACACACAACCATGGTCTAGCCACCAGCTATGTGGCGAAAATGAAGGTTACAGCTGGAGAAGTCCAGAAGGCAGCTGAACGAGTATTCTGTGCACTGGACAAAAGACATTTTCAACTTTTTGCCTTGACTTGGTAGCAGATGTCATGGTGATGATCTGCCACACCAGGAAGAGACCGTCCAGTATTGCTCAGGAAAGCTTGCCAGAGTACTTCTCTGAAGACATAACCTAAGGCCTCTCTCTCAGAGCATTCTGAACAAACATGTGGAGTATTACGTCTCTGATCATATAGGCCCTCATATTTGTAATGTGTGAAATGGGACCTGCTCAATTTCTGACTAGCTGTTTCTATTTTTTGGTTTGTAGAAAATCACAATGATAAGAAGGATGAAGATGGACAGGAGCCTCTGGCACCCAGGTAACTGAATGCTGAAAGGGCCGGTAATGGAATGGTGAAGTCTAGAGAAGATTCCAGAAGCAAGAGACCAAAAGGCCAAAGTCCCAGATCCAGGAAAAAAAACTCAGAAACTGCTGATTGTACCTATTTCATTCATTCATTCATTCATTCATTCATTCATCATACAATGATGTGTCTGTCCTTTTAAACAATGTTGTCTGTTCTCTGTGCAGTTCTTGTATTGGTTACCATTTCCTAGTAATTCATCAAGTTTAATTAGCTAGAGTCAGTCTGACATAAAGGCCAGAGATCCCTGGTTTCTGTAGTCTAAAAACCTGTATGGTAAAAAAAAACAAAAACAAAAAAACCCAGAGTGAGACACTGTCTCAGGAGCCCTAATTCAGTGGACCACTTCATATTTTTTATTTTTTTATTTTTATTTTTTAATTAAAAAAATTTTTTATTAGACACAGAGAGAGTGCAAGCAGGGGGAGCAGCAGAGGGAGAAGGAGAAGCAGGCTCCCTGCTGAGCAGGGAGCCCGATGTGGGGTTCAATCCTAGGACCCCAGGATCATGACCCGAGCCGAAGGCAGACGCTTAACCGTCTGAGCCACCCACACACCCCTACTTCATATTTTTTAAACAAAAGTTGGCCACAGCATTCTAAGGTCTCTGTGTGTCATGAGTGTATTTGAGAGTAGTTGAGTCTATTTCCTGATCCACGTTATGTGGTCAGCACACTGAGCACCTGCTGCTCCCTTCTACCCAACTCTAGGCACAGTAACCCTAGTCAGAAGGGTTATTGGATTGTTATGCTTTCTCTCTCATCCAGATGGCTTTTTTGGTTTCTGGTGTCTCTTCCAGGAGCTTCAGATAGGACCAGCTGTGAAGCTGTGGTTCCAGGTTGCCTTAGTTTAATCTCCTGTCTTACCTCCCTCCCTGCCCCCACCCCAGGCTCAGGAGGGAGCTCCAGGAGGAAGAAGAGAATGAAGTCTCGGAAGACTCACTAGGTGAACGGTATTTGACTCATTCCAGTCGCTGTGACTCTCACCAGCCTCCCAGCAGCAGTGCCTTCCCCTCTGATGTGCAGGAAGCCAGCTCTGCTGCGGAAGTCACCGGTGAGTACTCCCATTATAAAGAGAATAAAATTCCACCAACACTGGAAAAATGGAGAATAAAGCTCCAGTAGCTTCTACATGCTTACCACCTCTGTCTAGGCTGAATGAGATCATCTCTGCAGGCAGGCCCTAAAGATTAACCTTGAAAAAATTATTAGGCTGAACATAGCTCTGGGACCAAGTTTCAAGTACAGGTCCCTGGTGGGTCAGGTAATTTGCATTGTTCCTGGTCCACACTTCACCTCAGTCACTCTGGTCCCCACTGGCATGTGCAAGCTGATGGACTCCATGCAAGTCAGATTGAGAGTGAAGGGATCATGGCAGACTCTCTGCTACCACTTCAGCATGTGTACAGAATCTAATAGACCTCCTCTAAGATGAAACATCTTAGCTTTCTGGGAATGTTCTTGCTAATTATAGTTTCTGAACAGTGTCCCTTAAGCTTTTCTAACTGCCTGAGAAATACTAGCAGTTTTGCCCATATTTTTGGAGGTGCATTATCATGGTTCCAATCTTTAGTTTTCATCTCCCCTCAGATGACTTGCTTCCTTACAAGGTTCCATCTGAGTACCAGAATATCAGGTGGTTTCCCTAAGGACAAGGCTCATCTTTTGGCAGCCCTTGGGTAGCTAGGGTTCCCATCCTTTGTGTGATACCATTTTTAAAAAATGTCTGTGGGTCTAGTCTCAGTGCTTTAAGAGCCCCTAGGTGTCACAGCTTCACTGGTTGTGTGTGTGTGTGTGTGTGTGTGTGTGTGTGTGTGTGTGTGTGTAGATTAAAACCCCAACCTTCATCTCCATTCCCTTTTTTGACTGTTCGACTTTATTTGGGGATAAAAGTTTGGATTGTTAGAGAATTATATGTCTTGTGTCCTCTTGTAGGCATGAGAAGGAAACTTTTTAAGATTTTATTTATCTATTTATTTGAGAGAGAGAGAGCACGCAGGGGGAGGAGCACAGGGAGAGGGACAAACAGACTTTGTGCTCACCATGGAGCCCTAGGAGGGGCTTGATCTCAGAACCCTGAGATCATGACCTGAGAGGAAATCAAGAGTCAGATGCTCAACCAACTGAGCCACCCAGGCACCCTCAGAAAGAGACTATCTTAATCCAGTCAGTGTTAGCTGAGTTTTTTAATAGTGATATAAGCCATGTCAGGTTTTGTCTTTTTGCCAATGGTGGGTGCTTTTTATTACCCAGGCAGTCCCCTTACAAAGGCTTCCTCATTCCTATTTCCCATTTCACCTTGAGATGTCGAGGGAGGTCTTTGTCATCTATTAAAGATGTCCAGTCATAAATCATGTGGGAGAGGTATTTAGTAGAGACATTAACTAATACCTGAAAGTCTTACGTGAAAAATGGCCACATCTCGGGGCGCCTGGGTGGCTCAGTCGTTAAGCGTCTGCCTTTGGCTCAGGTCATGATCCCAGGGTCCTGGGATCGAGCCCCGCATTGGGGTCCCTGCTCGGCGGGGAGCCTGCTTCTCCCTCTCCCTCTCCCCCTGCTTGTGTTCCCTCTCTCGCTGTGTCTCTCTCTGTCAAATAAATAAATAAAATCTTTATAAAAAAAAAAAAGTGGCCACATCTCTCCCAGTACTAGATAAGCCCTACTCAGAAGGCTTATTTGGTGTTTTCCCGCCTTGTGTCAATCTCCTTTATACTTCCCATATCCTTGTATGAGAGGTGGTCCTGTGGAGTTTGCTTAGCATTGGACCATGCTTTGTTTGAAGGCCTTTAAGGGCTGTTAAAGGAAGTCCCCTGGTGTTCCCTGATGAAAGAGGAAGTTGGCAGAAGAATGGCAAAAGGCAGGGATCTTGCTGAGAGGCCCTTGGCCACCCCCATTAGTGATGAGGATTCTCCATCTTCTACCTCATTCCCTGTCCTGGTGGAATGGCTGCAGAAGATGAGATCCAGAGCCTGCACCAGCACCTGAAGGAAATTATTTTCATCAATGACTGCCTTCAAGAAAAGCTGGAACATCATCTCAGCATTTCTGACCAAGGAAACGGTAGGGGCGGCTCAAGTCGGCCTGCTTCTGGCAATATGTATCTTTCTAAGGACTTGTCATGTGTTTCAGGGCTTCACAGATTGCAAGAACTTGATATACCTTACTTCACTTACTCTTAGAAATGGCCCAACTAGGGAGAATAGGGCAAGTATGAATAGTCCTACTTTTTTTTTTTTTAAGATTCCATTTATTTATTTGACAGAGAGAGACACAGCGAGAGAGGGAACACAAGCAGGGGGAGTGGGAGAGGGAGAAGCAGGGAGCCCGATGTGGGGCTCGATGCCAGGACTCCGGGATCATGACCTGAGCCGAAGGCAGACGCTTAACGACTAGGCCACCCAGGTGCCCCTGAATAGTCCTACTTTTTAGATGAGTAAATAAGCTCAGATAGAGATTTGCCCCAAGGTTGAGCTATCCCTCCATCTTCGAGTTGTCTGACCTCCAAAGCCCTTCTTGTGATTCCTCTGCTATATGCTTTCTGCTGCTCCTCTCCTCTTGCGTGGCAGTCATTCAGTAGAACTCAAGTTGCTGAGTACCACGTTCAGCAGAGTGAGGGTCCCTGCTGCTGCCGTCCTCATCCCCCTCTCTAATGTCTTGGTTACTCTTCATTGTCCCTAACGTGGTTCTTCTCCCCACATCCTCCTCTTGGATTGCACTCACACAGAGGCCATCATTCCTCAGTCTTGGGCTGGCCCAGAACAGTGACTGAGTCTCTTCCACACCAGAGCAGCAGCTATGTCATGAGAAAAGTCTACTTCATAATTTCAGCCATTGGGTGTGATAATACTAATGAATGAGCTGGCATTTGTTAAGGGCCTTGTGAAAATTAAGCTTCTGTCCCATTACACTAAAGTCCCAACCTTTGAGTCCCCAGGGTTTTCTTCTGGGCTGAGAAAGAAGGGGAAAAGGAATTGCAGAAAGCATTATCTCAAGTGAATGTGTTTAACTTGCCTAAACTGTAATTATTTCCTGGACTAGGATACACGTCTAACCTCAACAGGCAGAGCTTGGAGTCTGTTGCCCAGCTGTACAATGAAAACAGAGGTATCAGGGGAAAAAGTCTGAGCCTTTTGGCTCACCTGAATCGTATTTCCAGAGGTAAGTGGTCAAAACCCCCAAGAGAAGGTCACTCTCAGAGCCTTCTTTTCTCTTGCCATACCCAGCTATAAAAACAAAAGGTGATAGGGAGGCCACAGCTACCCAAATCCTCATGACTCATAATTCTCAATCTAGAGAGGGCTACCTCGTAGGTGCTCCCTCTACAGGCCCCCAGACCCCAGGCTCCAGGAAGGAGTACCTCTGGGAAATCCACCGTTTAGGTACAAACCACAGCTCACGAATGCAAGCCTGAGAAAAAAAGAACAATCCTCGAAGGTGAGAAGACATAAGAGAACAGTTATTTTAATTGAGTAAAATTCGCCAAGATTAGATAAACTCTGATTAGAATGCTGAAAGAATAAGGAAACAGAATTTAGATTTTAGGTCAGTAGTCTTTGAGGAAATGTGAGGACCAGATAGGTACCATGAGCTTAAAAGGAGCAAAACCCCAATTTTCAAACTGATGAAAATAAAGTACTAAAAAATTGAAATAAGTATAGCTTATATTGATCCTTGGCAAAATACAAATTTATTGCAAACTCTAATATTCCAATTGCCTTACGGTTCTCAGCTCTTCCTATTGAGAAAAGCCAAACCAAACCAAATTGCCTTCAGATTGGCAAAAATATTTACAAACCTGCAAAATATCTTCAGCCTAACCCCTATACACCAGACTCAGCATTTACTGTGTTTTTGCTGTGTACAATGCCCAACCCAGTAGACATCCCTGCCTGATCTGGTAGGTGCCCGTTAAGAAAGGTCACCCAAGATTCTTTTTACCTTCTTTTTTTTTAAGGTTTTTATTTAGTTATTTATTTGACAGAAAGGAAAAAAAGCATAAGCAGGGGGAGCTTCAGAGGGACAGGGAGAAGCAGGCTCCCCACCAAGCAGGGAGCCCAATGTGGGGGCTTGATCCCAGGACCCCGGGATCATGACCTGAGCTGAAGGCAGAAGTTTAACTGACTGAACCACCCAGGCGCCCCTACCTTCTTTTTTTGTTTTGTTTTGTTTTAAGATTTTATTTATTTATTTGAGAGAGAGTGAGAGAGAGAGCACAAGTGGGGGGAGGGAGAGAGGGAGAGGGAGAAGCAGACTCCCTATTGACCCACTGAGCAGGGAGTCCCACGTGGGGCTCATTCGCAAGACCCTGGGATCATGACCTGAGCTGAAGGCAGACGCTTAACCGACTGAGCCACCCAGGCGCCCCTTCTTTTACCTTCTTGTACCTATGTTGCTTTTGTTTCCAAGGACTCTTCTAAATAGGACTGTCCTCAGATTCCTGGAACCAGTTGCCTGGTGGCTTCAGAGAATGGAAGGACCTGGGAGTTCATGTCAGTCCTACAGCACCCAGTGACTACAGGCATAGGAAAGCCCAGCTACTTGACTTGAGGGAGCCTTTGTGGTGAATTAGCTTTGGGCAAAGGGAATCTGGAGGTGAACTTGGTAAAGACCCAGGTAGATAAACAGAAGGAAATCCTTGCCTTGGAAATCCAATGGAGAAAGAAAGATTCACCTCAGACCATAAGAAGGAAGATTAAAATCTTTAGGTCCAATGGGAAAGAAGCCCATGGTGGGACAGCTAGAGAGAAACAAAGAGAACCATGGGAAATAGGGCAGGTCTCCTAAGTAGCTTTAAATCATGCTGTCATTATAAGAACCTGGTAACGTTTTGCCTAACACAAATGCCTAGATACCACAGCTAGAGATTCTGATTAATATGGTTTCACATGTGTTTAGGGTATTAGTTTTTAAAAGCTCCTAGGTGAGGGACACCTGGATGGCTCAGATGGTTAAGCATCTGCCTTCAGCTCAGGTCATGTCTCAGTGTCCTGGGATCGAGTCCTGCATTGGGCTCCCTGCTCAGCAGGGAGCCTGCTTCTCCCTCTGCCCCTACTGTTCCCCTTGCTTATGCTCTCTCTATCTCTCTGACAAAAAATAAATAAAATCTTTTTAAAAATTAAAAAAGGGCGCCTGGGTGGCTCAGTTGGTTAAGCAACTGCCTTCGGCTCAGGTCATGATCCTGGAGTCCTGGGATCGAGTCCCACGTCGGGCTCCCTGCTCAGCAGGGAGTCTGCTTCTCCCTCTGACCCTCCTCCCTCTTGTGCTATTTCTCATTCTCTCTCTCTCAAATAAATAAATAAAATCTTTAAAAAAAAAAAAGCTCCTAGGTGATTCAAATATGTGGCTACCAATGAGAAGGACCATCAATCTACTAAGATCTCAGCTTACCAATACAGAAGTATCTCAAATGTGCAGTTTCTTACGAAAGGCCGACACTAGCCATTGATGTGATTTGCATTCCTCTCTCAACAGTCTTATTTGTATAGCATGGAAAAAAGAGAAGAGGTAGATGGATGGATTAGATCTATAACCAGTCTATCTGGAGCAGTTTCTCCGATTTTTTTGACCACAAGACACAGTACAATTCTTTGTAACCCAATGTTATGTTTAAAACAAACAAAAAACCTTACTATATATAATGGGCCATATGTAGTATTATCCTTCATGGTTCTTTAAGTAAAACCTGTAGTAAACAGTCTACTATATTGATTTTACAACCCACTAGTGGTTCCATTTGCAATTTGAAAAATTTTGCTTTTGATTAGTCTTTTCATTAAACAAAATCCTAAAAGAGTATTGGGGCAAAATTTTTCCTCCACCCATTTAGGTTTGAATGGTCCAGGACCTTTGAATTAACTAATGATAGATAAACTAATGATAAATAAACAGGAGAAAAGACAAGATTCCTTTACATATGCATGTGGGAATTGCTTTGTAATGAATAACTCCCAGAATACCCAGAGGTAAAAGCTTGTATACCAACTTAACAAAGGGTTTCAGGGCTTCATGGAAAAGTATGGAAAATTCTTTTGGACTTTTGATGCTATTGGTAATGGACAGTCTGTATCCATGCCACTGAATTCTCAGGAAACTCTCTTGGAAGGGTGGGGGGTGGTTCATGTGGCACCTGTATTTTTGGGATGTTCTGCTCTAGTCAGATAAAGGAAATTCAGATAAGATTTTAGATTTTTTTTTAAGATTTTATTTATTTGAAAGAGAGAATGAGAGAGAGAGAGCACATGGTGGGGGAGGGCCAGAGGGAGAAGCAGACTCCCTGCTGAGCAGGGAGCCCGATGCGGGACTCCATCCTGGGAGTCCAGGATCATGACCTGAGCCGAAGGCACTTAACCAACTGAGCCACCCGGGCACCCAAGATTTTAGATGTTTTAACTTGAAAATAATCTTCACACCAAATCTGATACCTTCAAAAGCTTTTAGATATTACTGCCCTAAAGAGAATATAACAGCAAAAAAATCTAAAACTTTAGGGAACAGGGGCACCTGGGTGGCTCAGTCGGTTAAGCATCTCTCTTCTGCTCAGGTCATGATCCCAGGTATCCTGGGATGGAGCCCCCAGTCAGGCTCCCTGCTCGGCAGGAAGCCTGCTTCTCCCTCTCCCACTGCTTGTGTTCCCTCTCTTGCTGCTTCTCTCTCTGTCAAATAAATAAATAAAATCTTTAAAAAAATAAAAATAAAAAAATAAAACTTTAAGAAACAAATTTATATTTGCCTTCCCTATACTGAAGTGAAATACTTAAAAATAAAATCTCCCCCCCAAAAAAGGTCAAATAAATAAATAAAACCTTTAAAAAAAATCTTTCCCAAAGAAGTAGTTTGGAAAGGATTAGGTGATAAGGAACATCTAGGAATGATAAATTACTTTTTTCAGTTTTCACTTAGGAACTCTGTTAGTTGATCCAGTGGAAATATTCCTACAAATGTTCCTAGTAGCAACTGTGTTTTGCCATGTGAACTGGAGAGACCTCCGGCCCTGGTGCTTCCACCCAGCCAAGACCCAAAGGAGTTACTCAAGGTTCTTGGTCTTGTCACGAGAAGAAATTCAAAGACAGACACGCAGTGCAGTAGATGAGTAAAAAAAAAAAAAAAAAGAAGCAAGGAAGCAAGAAAAGTTCATTAAAGCAAAAAAGTACACTCTTGAGAAGTGAGAGCAGGCAAGCTCAAGAGAGAGAGATGAGAGCAGCATTCCCTGGGGGTTGGGTGTCTTATATTCACAGTTGTTAACTAGGGGGCAGGAAGCAGGGTTTTGGCTTTTTCTTCCTAATTTGGTCAGGGTTTCCTGTGATGGCATCTGCCATCTTGGCTGGTCTGGTTTGATCCAGCTTCTTGTGGAGTGCTGCAGGGACAGGCCTCTGACCTTCCCAGTATCTGCCCATGACTTCCTCATTGTTGACCTCCAGGTATCCTGTCAGAACTTAACTGCCTACTCTAACAACCTGATGTAGAATTAACATTATAGAATATTGGTCTCTAAAGGGTGTAAATGGATCAGTCCAGGGTTTAACGTTGCTCTTTATTTGCTAATTTTCCCTTTTCTCTTTCTGATGATTCCTTTCTTTCTCTGTAATCTCTTAAGAAGAATACTTAAAGAGACTTCCTATAAAGTCTTATTCCGGTCCCAGCTAAGGTACCCAATACACTGTCGGAGCCTGTTGGCTTCCTCCAGATTGGAGCCTTTCCTCTCCCTTTGCTTCAACTTTGTAACATAGTGAAAAGGCTCAAGGTGTGGATTTTAGTCTCAGGATTTTCATGTATAGGTCTTGTGGCTTTAGTTAATACTTTGCCTCTTGATACCACTGTTTCCTCATGGCCAAAGGTGGAACTGTACTTGGATGGTAAATTAATTCCGGTACCAATTCCAACTTGGGGGGGGGGGGTTGTTTCCCACACCAACAGGCAATTTTTGGGACACCACCTGGATGTCCTACGATTCAACTCGATTCTGACATTACCTACTAGGTTTACCTAGTAGAAGATAGCATCAGATTCCAGAGGTTAAGGGTTCAGTCCTATGAGACTGTCCCCCACCCTGGCTCCCTCTTCAGATGCTAGTAGCAAATCTGGGTTGTCACCCTATATATCTGACTATGAATCAGAGTTTCCTGCGAACCCCCTCCTAGGGTTTGATTAATTTGCTAGAGTGGCTCAGAGAACTCAGAGAAACATTTCACTTACTAGATCACTGGTTTATTTTTTCCATGTATATATGTGTGTATGTATGTATGTATGTGATCTCTGCACCCAGTTTGGGGCTGGAACTCATGACCCCAAGATCAAGAGTCACATGCTCTACTGGCTGAGCCAGCCAGGAGCCCTGATTACTGGTTTATTTTAAAAGGATATAACTCAGGAATAGCCAGAAGGAAGAGATGCATAGGGCAAGTCAAGGGGAAAGGGTGCAGAGCTTCCATGTTCTCTCTAGGAGCTCCACTCTCCCAGCACTTCTATGTGTTCACCAACCCAGAAGCTCTCTGAACCCCCATCTTTCGGGTTTTTAATGGAGGCTTCATTACATAGGCATGATTGAATAAGTCATTGGCAGTTGATGACTGAAGTCAACTTCAGCCCCTTTCTCATCCCCAGAGGTCGGGGGTTAAGACTAAAAGTTCCAACTCTCCAAATCATATGGTTGGTTCCCCCAGGTAATCACCTTCCATCCTTCCAGGACTTTCCAAAAGTCACCTCATTAACATAACAAAAGACTGATTCCAAGCATTTTAGGAGTTCTGCCAGAAACTGGAACAAAGACCAAATTTACATTTCTTATTATAAATCACAGTATTACAGATGGTGTCTAAGGACCTTGCTGGTTTTCACATTCTAGGACTCTTCCCTTGGCACCACCCTCCTATTTAAAAAAAAAAAAAAAGACGTATTTAGGAGCAGGATTTCCATGCAAAATACGCTCTCATTTCTAGAACAGACTGTTTCTGAATGTGCATGTTTGAAGCAAGGCACATCTCCTGGGAGGTGTAAAGGCCTTCATTTTTCTCCAGAAGAGTAGAATGTAGAGTAAACTGATCCAGAGGGAGGAGGTGGTAGGGATCTGGCTAACCCACTTGGAGCAGCTTTGAGCAGGGCTATTAGCATTATGAGGTGGTGGGGCCCTGTATACCACACCACAGGGCACATGGTATATTTCAGGGGACTTTCCATCTAATCTGCTAGTATAACTCCAGACTGTAGTTTAGCACCACGACTTATCCACTTTTCAGGTTGCACTCAGCCTCTTTTCTTTCTTAGCTGTCACTTCAGCCTCAGGTATCAGCAGAACCAATAGAAGGTTCTCATTTAATCTAGTTTTTGTCTTTTCTTCTATTTCAGGTAAGAACTAATAGTGGAAATATGAAAAGTTCTTATTTCAACAAAGCTTAGTCATAAATAGTTCCCCCATTGATGAGAAAAGCTAAGACAACAAAACAGTGAAATTCCCAAATCTGAAAGCAAGAAGCCTTCATCTCTAAGAATCAAATTTCACAGCCACTCTAGATTTTTACTCCAAATGGATAGTTTGATTGCAGAAATCACAGCTCTTCAGCCTGCAAATTTGACAACTACGTAAGAGACACCAATACCTAGATTCACAGATGATCTTGAGATGCCTGACCCTTTTCTCTCTCCACCCCCATCCTGTGCATAACTGGAGTCAGCAGCAGCTGGAAGAAAATGTCAAGGACTTGGGTCAAGAATAAGGCAGAATAATGTCATGGCCGACTATTCATCAGCTCTTCAGCACATGTCCATTTCCTTGAAGGATGAAAGTTTAGAAATCTCAAAGAATAAGGTTTATTTTATATACATTCTGTTGCCTGTCATTTTTTTTTAACAAATCAAAATTACAAAGTTTTCTTTCTCCAGCTAACAACAGGAAACTCAATATGTCCACTATATTTATATCCCAGAGTGACAGCAACCAAGTCTGGGTGCATCACTTTATTCCAAAATTAAATGTTATTGAACACCTGGTACTAAATACAAAAACTACATTGTGTCTCACACTCTGGGAACTGAGATAACTCAGGCAGAAAAATCTGCCTTCACAGGCATCTGTAAACAGAGCAGCAGTCTCATACATGTCTACCTGTGGGGGACCCCAAAAAAGGATGATAGAATCACTGCCAGAGAAGGATCCTGAGAGTTTTTGTTCACTCTTGTACTTCTGTATAGGTCTAGCAAAAGTTGCATCCTAGAGGTCTCTGTTTAGAATACACAGGGAGAAATAGTATATCTACAGGAACTGGTAGGTTTCGGATAACTCCACTCTCATTTGGAGCTTTTTTCTGAAAATAATTTCTGAAAATAACTACCCATTGATTTGTCTTTTGCAATTAAATATAATAGCCAGACATCTTATTCTGAAGCTTTGAAACATATAAAGTAGCCTCAAACTTATCAGATTTCCAGGCTTGAAGGCTGATTAATGTAAGAAGGACAAATCCTGGATGGCAGGAAAGGATCCTTTGATGGGTGTATACAGCAAACTAGTGATTTAACCTTTTCTTGTACTGGTAGGTAGTATTGAGGACTGCCATACCCTCCTGCAAGTGGGAGACACATAAAAGGCCAATTTTTAGTCCAGGACTCAGATAGCTGTTCAGTGTCACATATTTTACAATCAATGTCCCTCAAAATTATTTACTTTGAAACATTTCAAACCTCCAGAAAAGTTGGAAGAATACAATTATCACCTTCATTCTGTTCATCTCAATTCAACAATTAACATTCATTTCTCCTTTTCTCTGTCTACATAGACCCACACCTGCATTCCTATTACTTTAGTAAATGCAAGCCCACTTCACCCCTAAATACTTCAGCATGTATTTCCTGATATTAAGGGCATTATCCTATATAACCATAATACAATTCAATTATCAAATCTAAGGACAATATTAAATCAATAACATCTAATATATGCTGCGTAAATTTTCCCATTGTTTAAAAAATGTCATAGCTATATACACATGTATGTATATAGATAGAGATGCATTTAATATCTGTGTCTATATCATATATATATACGAGAGAGATTAAGGATTAAGAGTGTGTGTTGTGATACCGATATTTCCCCAGGCTCTAATTAAAGTTCCCAGATTTCACTTCAGTCCATATTACCTGGAACTCTCTCCCGATGTCTTTGTTTTTGTTTTTTCTGATGATATTACATTTTCGAAGAGAACAGGCTAGTTATCTTGTTCAAGATCCTACCTTCTGACCAAACAACAGTTTTGAAAAGAACAACACATAAGTATTTGTGTTTCCTATTGCAGCTGTCAAGAAGCAAGCCATCCAAGAACAAAGCTACACAATACTGTGAACATTCTTATGTCAAAAATATTAAAGGAAATGCAGCATCTGCCAGCAGGGTTAGTACTCTGTGTTGTGGCAGCAGTAACCTCGGCTCCAATCCAAAACCGTAGTGCCTGGCTTCTATCTTGACAGGGACTGATTCTTTCAGTTTGTTTTTAATCCCAGCACTGACTGTGACCCTGTTTTGCCGCCAGAGATTTACTGCTGACACGCCAGCACAATGTGGTCAGAAGGGAAGGAAAACCCACAGTAAAAACTCCTAGTGTTTGGGAAACTTGGACATGCCCCATCTATGAACATGTGCAGAAACTACTCCAAAATGCTTCCTCTCAAGGAGACTTGTCTCTAATTTCCACTGCTGAAACTGTGCCATAAAATAGTGGAGGCTTTTTAGGAGAAATGAGGATGACCTTAGTGCATTTTTTTTTAAAGATTTTATTTATTTATTTGAGAGAGAATGAGAGATAGAGAGCACGAGAGGGAAGAGGGTCAGAGGGAGAAGCAGACTCCCTGCTGAGCAGGGAGCCCGATGCGGGACTCAATCCTGGGACTCCAGGATCATGACCTGAGCCAAAGGCAGTCGCTTAACCAACTGAGCCACCCAGGCGCCCAACCTTAGTGCATTTTAAATAAAATCCAAACTCCTGTAGCCATAGGTCTACACAGGTTTATCTCCATTCCCCATCAATATGGACACTAGTTGTTCTAGCACCACTTATTGAACCTCATTGAACTGAAATTTTTACTGAAAACCAGCTGACCAAATAGATGTCAGTTTTAGGGCTCTCAATTCAGCCTATTTATTGGTGTATCCTGCTGCCATTAGCAATTTGCCTTGCCTGCCATAGCTTATAATAAGTCTTTTTTAAAGATTTGTTTTAGAGAGAAAACAGGGGGAGGGGCAGAGGGAGAGGGAGAAAATTTCAAGCAGACTCCCTGCTGAGCATGGAGCCTGTTGCCAAGGGGCTCCATCCCATGACCCCTGGGAGATCATGACCTGAACCAAAACCAAGAGTCGGATGCTCAAGCAACTGAGCGCCCCAGGCGCCCCAGTAAGTCTTAAATCAAGTAGTGTAAGTCCTCTAGTTCTCTTCTTTTTCAACAGCTCAATTTTGAAAAATGTGAAACTCTATGTAAACAATTACATAGATTAAGATGTGCTGTCATTTTCATCCTTTTCATTCCAGTGCATTTCATTGACCCCTGTGGTCCAAGGTTCTCTATTGTACCCTCTAGGAAAAATAAATCTCCTATTGTCTGCAGGCTGAGGAAGAGGCAGAATGTCTGCAACACTCAGCAGAGTCTGGATTTTTCCTGAACAACAACAAAAATTTGGATCACTTTTCTGGCCTTTGATCTTAGGAAATGTTTCCTTTACTTCTTCCTGAAACATTTCCAACTGTGAAATAAAGCCTTGTGTTATTTATAATATTTCATTATAGGAAAAGAGTCCTATGAAAGATCCTTAATTTGTTAACCTGATTGTAAGAGCTGATGTTGCAAATTGGAGATTAAGGAAGACTTGACTTTGCTTATGAAAGAAGACGGGAGAGAGGCAAAGATGCGAAGTGGGAAGAATAATCTGGAACCTGAACACTAATGTTAGGATTTGGCAGTGAATGTCAGAGTTTGGAAAAGGGAAGTGACTGGATGGGCATATCTAGGGAAAAAAAAAAACTTTAGTGGAAACAACAGATAGCTGGGGTGCCTGGCTGGCTCAGCTGGTAGAGTATGTATGTGACCCTTGATCTCAGGGTTGTGAGTTCAAGCCCTGTGTTGGGCATGAAGCCTACTTAAAAAATAAAAGTTAAACATATTTAAAGTCCCTTTTATGACATTGCTTATTTGCTAATATGTAATTCTTTTCCATCTTTGTAAATGTGGCATAGTTGAGCTTGATGTGTTATATGTTTTTTTTTTTAGAATGTATATTTTTATTTTTGTAAAAGTATGCTCTATGCCCAGTGTGGAGCTTGAACTCACCGCCCTGAGATCAAGAGTGGTATGCTTTACTGACTGAGCTAACCAGGCACCCCAGGAATGTATATATTTTTTTAAATGACTATTTAGATATTCATCTGTGAACCTCTTAACCACATACATGGCCCTATCAGCTGTGCACTGAGAGTAAAATGGGCCCAACCTGGAGATCTACCTGGGAAAGTGCAATTAAAATTAAGGAGACGGGTGGTGACTGTCTCAGAAATAGTAGCTTTCCCTAATGTAGCAGTTTTCCTTCACACCTGATCCTTTCTTCTTTATTTTTTAAAAAGTTTAAGCGATCGCTACACACAACATGGGGCTCAGACTCACAACCCGGAGATCAAGAGTCCCATGCGCCTCTGACTGAGCCAGCAAGGCACCTCCTTTCTTCTTTAAATAAGGGCAAATGAAAAATAGAAGTACTCAGTTGCACCCTTGGAATCCACAGAAACCTGGCTGAGGAAGTTCAAGGCAAGATTAGAGATTGCCTACTCACTGGTAACCTGGCCACGGCTGTCTGTTTCCCTTACTTTGGCAAGGACACTCAACTCACTTTCACCAGCCATGGGAAGCCAAAGATCCAGATGAGGCTGACGTCGGGTAACTTTGGATCCTGAAATCTCACAGGATTTCTTCCGTTCTCTTTGAACTACCTCTGGCCTACCTGACAGGAGGGATTCACTGCCTTTCTTTCTGGTCAGCACTCTTCGGGGGTCCCTCACGGACATGTGCGAGGTAGGCAGCTGGCTTCTATGTGTCTCTCCCAGGTTGGTTGTTTTTCAGTGACCAGAAGTGACCCGCGACATAACTCCCTACCTGTGGGACCAAAAGTATCTGCACACCAGCGCAAGCTGTAGAGACTGCGTACAATCAGCTCCCAGCTGCCCGAAGCGCACCGCTCGCTTGCTCCCTGGATTTCCGGTAAAGAAGAAAATACTCTCAATCTTCTCTGCAGGCTAAACTGAATGAAATGCGAGGTTCCAAAAAGGTCAAGAAGAAGCTTACTGAGTCGACCCAAACCCCAGCCTGGCCTTCCAGGACAGGCTTGAATGAGGCTGATTTTAGGATAAACCCAAAGAAAAGGAGCAATGGTAGCACAACCCGAGGATAGGGAGACTAAAGACCCAAATCTTAACCTCCCAATGAGGTAAGGGCCATGAGTTGAATCGGTTTCCCACATTTATGAAGAGACTCATTCGCCCAACTTTCAGGGACCAGGACGGCAGTGAGAGCGCACATCAGTGGTTCTCAACAGAGGACGATCTTGCCCACCCCCACCCCTTGCCCACTACGACATTTGGCAATGTCTGAAAACTTTTTGCTTATCACGACGTGAGGGTGTGTTTGGCTTGTACTGGCATTTGGTCCGCAGACGCCTGGGAAGCCCCAGCCTACAATGCAGCCAAATAGCACGCAAGGCACGGGAAATCCCTCCGCAACAAAGACTGACGGTATTCAGTATCAGTGGTGCGAGGTTGAGAACCCCTGGTGTAGATCAGTGTCCACACTTTGTTTACTAGACCACACTAATTACTGACTTACGGATATGGAGTCTGGGGAAAACTGGTGTGTCAGGGAGAACTCTAACATTTTGGTCTGGGCACACGGAAAGATGGAGATCGCATTAACTAAGGCGGGAGAACTGCAGGGGCAGCAGGTTGTGGGCGGGAACAGACCCGGCGTCCAGTTCGGGGCCGCGGGGCCTTGCTGAAAGCGGTCTCGGTCGGCGCCGCCTTCGTTGCTGCGTCTCCCGGAGTCCACCGGGTGACGCTGGGGACCCAGGAGTCTCACGCCGGGCGCCTCCCCCTCCCTCGTGTCCGCACGCGGCCGCCTCGCGAAGGCGCTCCTGAGGAGGGCGGCTCCGAGGCGCGGCCGCGCCGGGCCTCAGCCATACGCTCTGGGACTTGCGGACCTGGCCGGGCTCAGGGCGCGCGTCTTTGGCTCCTCCCAGCGCTCAGTGCGTCGCCGGAGGGCTTGGTTTTGGGGCAAGCAGGGGAGGAATAGTAGTCCTCTGGATCTTCCCCGGAGGCAGGGCGGCAGCCCCAAGGGTGGGTGAGTAGTCGGAGCTTCTCGGTGCGCAATTCTAACGGAGCTACCGCCAGTCGGAGGCTGCGAGAAAACGAAGTAACACGTGGTGCCCTGGTGACGTAGTGGCTGGGACTTGGTGCTTTTCCCCCCACCTTGGCTTGGGCTAGATTCTTGGTCAGGTCACGTTTTGGCAACGTCTCCCTTCACGCAGGAATTCTCTTTATCCCTGGGTCCTTGGTGTGTTGCCAAAGCCGCATGCAGAAGAGGCTCCGCAGCGCGTCCCAAAGCGCCGGTGAAGAAGGGGAAGTAATGGCGGTCCGCTGGTGGCTTCTCAGACTCAGTGCTGAGCACCCAGCTCCTCACGCTCGCCACAGGAGGCCCTCTTACTTGGCGCGCCCTCTTTTTCCCGTTCTGATCCTATCTCCATTTCACACACGGGCCGGAGTGGCTGTAATAAGCCGCTTGTCCAAACGTACACAGCCAAGCGCAGAGGTGCAATCTCGCCCTGGGTTCAGGCCCAGACCACGCTCTTGCTGTCGCCGCCCCTGAGGCGCTCGCTCTGCGGACTGTGACAGTCACAGCCTCTGTGCTTTCCTCTGGAAACGGGCAGGTCCGCTCAGCCTTTTTGGTTCTCTTTGCGTGTAAACTGCTTTTTGGGCGTTATGGAGGAGGTGGCTGCCGGCGATCCGGAGAGGAAGGGAGGGAGGTGAGCTGTGGGTGAGGTCCTCGCTCTCCCAGATGAAGCGCTGCGGTTGTCCGCAGGTCTTACCCTCTCCCGAAACAGGACACAACTTTTGTAGACTCTAGCCAACAATGAAAGGGTTTTTGTGTGCTAAATCTATATTTCTCAACAAATTTAGATATCTTTTTTTTTTTTCTGCCTTATTCTCTCTTTCCTCTTCTTGAACTCTAAATATGGTAGAACTTTCGGGGCGCCTGGGTGGCCCAGTCGTTAAGCGTCTGCCTTCGGCTCAGGTCATGATCCCAGGGTCCTGGGGTCGGGCTCCCTGCTCCGCAGGAAGCCTGCTTCTCCCTCTCCCACTACCCCCCCCCCGCTTGTGTTCCCTCTCTCACTGTGTCTCTGTCAAATAAATAAATAAAAAATCTTAAAAAAAACTTGTGTTTAAAAATAAATAACTAAATATGTTAGAACTTTTGATATTGCCCTATAGGTTGCGAAGGTTCTGTTTATTTTTTTTCTCAATTCTTTCTCTTTGTGCTTCAGGCGGGATGATTTCTGTTTCTCTCTCTTGAAATTCATTGAATTTTTGTCATTTCCATGACTCAATTAAATCCATCAGTGATTGTTTTTTGAGAACTCTTTCCAATTTCCAATTTTACATTTTGGTCCTTCATTTATTCTTTCTATTTCCTGATAATTTTTTCTAACTTTTTGTATTATGGTTATATTTTTCCTTTACAATCTTGAAATAGTTATAGCTGTGGCTTAGTATTTCTTGCCTCCTAGTTTCAACATTTGGGTCATGTCTAGGTCAGTCTCCCATGATTGTCTTATCTTGAGCATGGGTAGAGTAATATCAGAGTAATGTATTAGAGCATTTTGAGTTGTATTGTGGATATACTGTGAATGGTACACATACAGATTCTGGATTGCTATGTATTACAAAAGCACTGAATTTTTATAAAAGCAGGTCTGGTTGATATCAAACTGCAAATTCTCTCCCTTGCAATGGATGACAGGTGAAATCTCAGTTGTCACTTTAGCTTTTGCTGAACTACTTGGAGGCTGTCCAACATGCATTATGCAGGAGTCAGCCAGAAACTTGGGCAGAATTTTACAAACAACTTAGAACTTCCTTTCAGTGGCTTTTTTCTTTATGAGATTCCTCTCCACCTCTTGTTTTTTTTCAACTGCTATGCTTGCCCAAGCATTGTCCTCGGCTCCTTTAATTAAGTAAGACAGTTTGGTTTTGTACTGGAATTTAGCTGACCCAAATAGGGCAGACCAAGGTGTGCTCTCAGCCAAAATTTTGCAAAGTGGAAAATTCACCATGTCAATTTTACCTTGTGTCTGCCTCCTTTTGTTCAGTCTCCCCAGCACCTTGAAGTAATGTTTTATTTATTTATTTTTAAAGATTTTATTTATTTGACAGAGAGAGACACAGCAAGAGAGGGAACACAAGCAGGGGGAGTGGGAGAGGGAGAAGCAGGCCTCCTACGGAGCCTGATGCTGGGCTCCATCCCAGGATCCTGGGACCATGACCTGAGCAGACATTTAATGACTGAGCCACCCAGGCGCCCCAAGATAATATTTTAAAAACATATGTTGTCCCCAGTTTATAGTTGTTATCTGTAGGAGTACTCTGAAAACAAGTAAGCAGCCATTACCAGAAGTTTAACTTATTATCTCAGTAATGGCAGCCTAGCAAATTGGGCTTGAATCTCTGCATGGTGGTCTAAGCTTGGCAACAAGCTGCTTCATGGATTTCTAAAGTCACTCCTGCCCCAAGTCTGAAAAGGAGATATGACAAAAACCAGGGTGTATGGAGAGAGATAAATAGGGGGCACAAGTAAGGGGATTGGCCTGTCCAGAGGGTGAGGAGCTGGGTCACCAGCAGCACTTTTGAGAAGGGACTACAGCGGACCATCATCACTTTTCTTCCTTCATCAGTTTTAGGGCTTCACAAATTGCAAGGAGACCAGACCCTTCTACATCAACCCCATTATGGTATACTGCCGAACTCCTCTGTACACAAAGGATATTGCTCTTGCATGCTGAGACTTTATAAGAAAGCACATTCCCTAGCCAGAAATTGAGCCTGGGCCGCAGAAGTGAAAGCCTTGAATCCTAACCACTAGATCACCAGGGAATTGACCTCTAGGTCTTCTGCCCTCTGATGATAGCTCCATTGGAATGGTACTCCAGCTGGTTTCTTCCCCCTATCCTTCCTTGTCTTTGCCTGCCCCTCCAGGGATGGTCGAAAAGGTCCTACCCTCCAAATTTTCTTTAAGAAGCAAGCCCACAGGCAATGCACCATATGTCCTGTCCCCCAAGTAGCAGGCTGCCTAGGCGGCCAGGTGTAGAAATCACGGAGGGAATTTGCACCTCTTGGCTACAGACCTGGAGATGAGCCTTTTCACTGCGACAAGGAAGAGACCAGGTTGCTGGGAGGAAGGGGGAGGAGAGGCTCCCAGGGTGAGGAGAAGCTGAGCGCTGAGACCCAAGGGATTAACAACAGGATTCAGACGCATGCAGGAATGGAGATAGGGTGGATGAAGAACTCTTTCAAGCAAGGTCCTGAACAGAACTCCCATATTCTCCCTAACACATTTTGTACCTTACAGTGTTTCCTTGTCAGTTGGAATCCTTTGTTCCCATCCTTCCAATTCTCGGAGCAAAAAAATTTAGGAGTTCTTTTTGACTCCAGTATTTTGCTCAACCCCCACATCTAATTAGTCAGGAATTCATGTTTTCCTGTCAGTCTATTGACCTCAGAGAGTCGGGGACCTGGGGCGGCAAAGGAAGTGAGAAAAAGAGACGACAGTATAGCGAGGCACAGGGGACCCCGAGCAAACAGCCCGAGGTGCCGAGGTTTATTTTCCATAATCTAATATACCTTCTACAATGATATAGATCTATAATGATTTACAGCAGGGGCTTAATAAAGCACATTCTTCCATGTACACAAGGTTAGTCAAGTGAAGCAATGGCAGTGGAGAAGGAATAAAGAAATCTGTAACTGGCTGTGATCAATTAATTGTAAACACCATTGTACTCGGACCTTAACACAGGATAAGAGAACAAAAAAGGGAATGCACAGTGTGCTGTTTACAGCTGGCTTCCTATCTACAAAACATCTTCTGCTGTGTACTTTAGAACAGACCACACACATCCCAAGGGCATTTCACTCTGATCCTTTCGGGTTATTTTTAACCCTGCAATCTCCAGTTTTCTCAGAGATCTCGGAGTCTGAACGAACATGCACCAGTGGTCGTTGTGGCGTTCTGTTTCCCACATCAGTCAAGTATGGATGTTGGTCTACACTATCCTCCTCTTTCTTGATCTCTGAATTAGAGCAAACAACTCTCTTGATAAAAGTGGAGAAATCAATTTAAACAAGTGATCCTTGGCTGGCTCAAGGTCTTAAGTTCCAGACACTTAGTCTCAGGATAGTTGGGTAATGTGAGTTGATGTTTGGGTCTGAGAGTGAACAGTCAAGAAAGAATTCTTGAGATGTTTTTCAGTGCAAAAAGGTGGTTTTATTAACGCACAGGCATAGGACTTGTGGGCAGAAAAAGTTGCATTATAACTGTGAGGAGTGACAGATAATATAGGTTTTTTTGTTTGTTTGTTTGTTTTTAAATCCTGTGAAGGGGAAGGTGATGTTAGGGCTCCAGGAAATTGAGTCTATAGGTTCCTGGAGGCCTGGCTATTATTAAGATCCTGTTTTTCTTGTAAAGTTGTAACAAGCTTTAGTTTGTTGTAACATCAGTTTCTTGTAACAAACTGATGGAGTTTCATGTCCTGCATGACTGTGATTTTTTTTTTTTTTTTTTTGACAGAGAGAGAGACACAGTGAGAGAGGGAACACAAGCAGGGGGAGTGGGAGAGGGAGAAGCAGGCTTCCCGCCAAGCAGGGAGCCCGATGCGGGGCTCAATCCGAGGACCCTGGGATCATGACCTGAGCCGAAGGCAGACGCTTAAAAACTGAGCCACCCAGGCGCCCCATGATTGTGATCTTTATCAGTTGACCATTTGTTTTCTCTTTGTTCTTGGGCAGTCATTAGTGCTTGAGGAATGTCACACATATCCCACCTTGGGTGGGAGGGGAAGGGGTATGTGGAGTGCCAGTTTGCCTTTTCCCCTCAGCTTGCCTTTTGTTATCTCATCAGTGGGGTTGGCTTGTTTTCTCACCTTTTCTTTGGCTCTGTCCTCAACTTCAGCCTCTTATTGGCCTGTCCGCTCTTTGTGCCTCCTCTCCTCTAGCAGAGTCAGGAACCCCATACATTCCTGTTCGGCCTGCAGGGTGGCGCTTTGGTGGAATATGACAGGATCCTGAGAGGCGCAGGTGCACTTGAGGTGAGTTTATGGTTTCCCCAGTGACTGCAGTCCTTCACACTCCTGTAAAGTAAAGGCAACTGCTCCCTTTTTTCTGTCCAGGAGGGACCCCAAAGTGTCCTACAAACAGAAAAATGATGGATGGATCTTCTTCTCTGACTAGGCAGGGAAAGAGGGAGATTGATCAAGGAGGGAAAGAAAGGGGGAAAATGTCATGAAATTTCCTGATCTAAAGCTACCTAGAAGTCTGCCTTATCTGATGCCCCCTGTCACTGATGAGAGTGATACGGTCCATTCTTGCCCTGGTCTCCAGTTTGAGCCAGAGTTGAAAAAGGCCAACCACCTCGGCCTGGTGTCTAATAAACCCATTAGATCTTTCAATTACTCAGTTGCATTTTTGCTCTTTAGCAGAGGCAAACCTGAAAACTTTTCAGACATTACCTTTCTCTGAAAATTATCTTTACCTCTTTGCTAAAATTTACACTCTAAGACCTGTTTTTTTTTAAGATTTTATCTATTCATTTGAGACACAGAGAGAGAGAGAGAGAGAGAGAGAGAGAGAGAGCACAAGCAGGGAGAGGAAGAGGCAGGCTCCCCGTAGAGCTAGGAGCCCGACGTGGGGCTCGATCCCAGAACCCTGGGGTCATGACCCGAGCCAAAGGCAGACGCCTAACCATCTGAGCCACCCAGGCACCCCACTTAAAGAGCTGTTAAGCAGGAAAACTAAAAAGGCAAATAAAAAGATGTTTTGGGTGTTGCGAAGTTGAAATAAAACTACCCCTAAAAAAGAATCTCAAGACCAATGAGGGAGAAATCCTGTGATCATGAAATGGGCATGGGCTGTCCCCGGGTCCTCCACATTCAGACAAATCCTGAAACCTTTGTGGTCTATATTCCTCCTGGTAGCCTGATCTTCAAGTGAATTTAATACAGGCCAGAAAACAGTGTGGCCTATGTTGGACATCTTCAAACACACAAATGCCCTAAGGACGTCAACTTCTGCTCCGGAACCTGCTAAAAGATGAAAGCTGTGATTAAAACGTTGGACTTAAATCAGTCGACTAGAATAAGTGACAGCGGCAGGAATCGGAAGGACCCCCTTCTGCCGAGAGGACCGCGAAGAAGCGCAGAGCGCAAGGGCCGGCGAAGGACGAGCGCGCGGGTGAGGCGCCGCGGGGCCGGCGGGAGGCCGGGGAGGGCGCGTCCTCCGGGTCCTGGGAGGATTCCCGGCGCCGAGCCGCGGCCACGAGCCGAGAGCACCGACCGCCCCCGCGGTGAAAGGGGCCGCCGACAGCCCAGGAGGGCGGGTGACCCCCCACGGCCGGGCGGCGGGGGCGCCTGGGGCCTCAGACGCCCCTGACCGGCCCCCTCCGGGAGCTGGGGAGTCGGCGGGGCGCCCTCGGCAGCGGGGCCGTCGGTCCGGATCTGGAAACCCTGCGCTCGGTGCGGATCCCGGAGCCAGACTGCCGAGGGCCCCCGGGGCTTCGCCTCCTGGGGGGAGACGCGGGAGCCTAAGCCGGCGCCGCGGTCCCTTTTTCTGAGGCGCCGCGGGGGCTCCCAGGGGCCTTCCGCGCTTAGAAAGACGGCGGTGGCACGACCGAAGGTGTTCAGGGCTCGGGCCCGCGAGGCGGCCACCCGTCCCGTTTCCGTAGTGTAGTGGTTATCACGTTCGCCTCACACGCGAAAGGTCCCCGGTTCGAAACCGGGCGGAAACAGTCCTTTTCCCTCAAAGTTAATCCTCCTAACGGAAGGATAAAAGGGGACGTTGGGTAACAATAGCTGCACCTGTGATTCTCAGGAACCTTGAGAGAAGTGCCATTACTACGCAACGGGCCCACTATCTATGAGTCTGTATTCGTTTCTCTTCCCGCAAGCCGGTTGAAGAGGCCAGAAAGTTACCGGGTTCCCTCCGGAAGCGCCCAGCAATCCCCACTTCAGGTTGGATTTTATATCAGGAAATCCCTTAAAATTCCCTTTGTCATCTTCTAGCGCTTGAATCTTCTCTGCAGGCTGACTTGGGAAAACGATTATGTTATCTCAAGTATTTCCTAAGGGTACTGCTCAGCTTCCCTCACTCTGGAGCAAAATTGCAAAACAGGTTAATATCCATGACAAAGCCAAAGTAAATAAATCTAAATCCCTATCTGGATCTCAAGCCAAGGATTTGTGGAATCAATATTCCATATCCATACCAATTAAAAATACATATTTTTGTATTTTACCATAATTTAAAAAATAACAGCCAAGGACACTATATTTTTCAAAGACATGACCTTATTTACATATACAAAGAGATACTGGAATAAAAAGACATATGGTGAACCCCAGAGAGTGTAAACTTCTGGGGGTGGAAAAGGGAATGGGTGTGGATAAACAAAATAACTGAAAGACAAATATGAAAGAACCTTGTTAGAGCATCCATGTTAATGTTTCCTGAACTAAGGAACATAATACTTAATCTTATGTACCCAGAATCTAAAAAAATATATTAACTAATCAGGGAAGTGGAATTTTTTAAACGCTATAGAAAAACAGAATTTTATCTAAGTAAACCAGTGTAGTGAAAAACATAAGGAAAATATTTTTTTAAATACATGATATGGTGGAAATGAGACCAACTATGTCAGGAATCCCTAACACAAAGACTAAATACTGCTAATTATAATGGATTCAAGTCTTCTCAGGGTATGTATAAAAGTAAATTCCAGTTACAGCAGTGTAGTAGACAGAAAAGGGATAAATATTAAGAGTAGTACAAATCTGTACCAAGCTACGCATGAAAGAACTAAAAAGGGGAAAATATTGTTTCAGGATTTCTTTTCCTTTAGTGCCCAGGGGTCTTGGTCACACCGCTTCTAAGAATGAAGAGGTGGACCAGACAAAGAGTGGTGGGCAGCAAAGCAAAGTTTATTGAGCAAGAGTATAAAGCTCCTGGAGAGGCAGGGTGGGGTGTGGGGGCAAGTGTGTTTCCTTTGGAGCTTCTAAGTTTAGGGGGTTTTATGAGCTCTTTTGCAGAACTATCTTAAGCAATCAGGGTGTGCTGAGTCGTGCCAATCAGGACTCTGGTCAGACATCTGCCTACCTATCAGGTTAATGTCTCTGTACTGATGGTCTTTTTTTGCTGACATCTGGGGGCTTACGTCTTAACTGCCCCTTGCCTGTGATATTGACAAATGCTTTGTGGTTAATTGTCTTATTTTAGGACCTTTTGCACAAGTCATTTCTGCAAGGGCTGCAAAGCAGAATGTCTTATCTAAGCTGCAAAACAGGATGTTAGTGCTCTCTTTATTTTAGCTGTCCGGACTCCGTATTTTCTCCTTGGGGACCCTGGCCCTGACTAACTAGTCCAACTAACTCCTGATACACAGGGGACTAAATAAGCACTAATACACACGATATATGGAAAGTGAGGCAGAGAACAACACTGATTGTTCTTGCTCTCCCCTAAAGGAGGTGCACAGGACAGAAGGGTAATAAGTGAGATCTCGACCTTTTTGAAAGGAAGGAGGCCACACAACAAAGACTTTCCAAGTGCAAACAAACACCACGTCCCTGGGTGGGCTCGAACCACCAACCTTTCGGTTAACAGCCGAACGCGCTAACCCATTGCGCCACAGAGACCTACGCGAGTTTCTGCTTTCCTCCCAATAGAGAGCAAGCACACGCTCAGCGCCAAGGGGAGCCACCGCCTTTGCAGGACCACGATTCAGGTCCCGAGGCTTCCGAACACCCAGAAGGAGGAGTCGACGCGATGTGTTCCTTGCGTTTGAACCCCCTGCGTTGGACGATTCCCACCACAGTGGGAACCAGAAAGATAAAGGGAAGGGGGATGTCGGGGTAAGTGGGGGAGGGGCGAGAAGCGGGAAAGAGATCAAGGGTGAAGAGGAGCGAAAGAAAGAAGTATGGATGAGACGAAGAGACTGCTAGGAAATCTGTGAAGAAGCACAGGCCCGGATCTGAGATATGAAAGTTGTTTTATTATGTAGCAGAATGGGGAGGGAGAAAGGGAGAACAGTATGAAAGAGACCAGCACGCACATCTATCTGTAGGAGTCCAAGAATAAAACAGCAAAAGAAGTGTGAATATTTTTACATCAAAAAATTATAGTAAGGGCAGTGGCTCCCAGCAGGACCGTGGTGTGTCGTCACTGTATAGTGGTTAGTGCCCTTGTGGCTGGAGCAACCTCGGTTCAAACCAAGTACAGCAGGGTAGTGTCTGACCAGTCTCTTTGGGGTGCTCTTAATCCCAGCGCCAGCTGTGCACCTTAGTTAGCAGCAGTCGGAACAGAGGATATTTAGGGGCAGAGTACACCCTGGCCCCACAGTGGAAGCAGTTACAAGAGGAGTAAATCCCACAGTGCACAAACCTTCTGGTGGCCGGCCAAAGTAAAACCTTGGAAGTTTCCTTGTCTCCCTACTGAGCAGAAAATATCCCCAAAGATGAAATACTGCCTTTCAAGGGGACCGGCCTATAGCTTTCACTAATGAAATAGGGTCCTCATAGCCTTTTTTCTGGTAAAGATATTTCAAGTATCAGTGTGCATGTGGGAGGGAGGGGTATCAGTAAATGAGAACCAGTTTTCGAGTTTACAATAAAATGCAAACAAGATGTCATGGTCTACCCCGGCTTGTCTCCATCTGCCTTCTGCTAGTATTTATGGGAACAGTAAATTATTGAACTACAGTTCACACAGAGTAAACATCACAGATCTTTAGTGTACACTTGGTTGAATGTGGGCAAATGTAATCATCACCCAAATCAAGTTATGAAAAATTGCCATCATACCCGAAGTGTATGTTGAGCCCCTTTCCCGGTAATTCATACCTGATCTCGCTTAGTTAATTATTAGTTTGAGGTCTATTTGCTATAGGTTACTACTGCTTATTCTTGAGATTCAAATGAATGAATGCTTATTTTTTTGCATTTGCCTTTTTTATGCAACATTATGTTCATTAAATATATCCATATTGACATGTACATCTCTTCTTGATTTTGGTATTATTGGAGTAACTTTGGTGTTGTTTGGTATTAATTAGTGTTATTGGTGAATATTGTTATTGTTTTGATGAATATTCTGTGCCAGTCTTTCTGTGTACTTGTGCCTTGAAAGATGTACTGCAGTTGCTGAGTCACGGGGTAGGTATGAGTTTAACTTTATTAGAAATTGCCAACAGTCCTCTAGAATAGTTTGAACCAGTAACTACAGTTGCCATTGCTCCAAATTCTTATCAGCATTTGGTGTACTAATTCTTTTAAATACAGCCATGCTGGAGGGTGGGTAATATTATCTCCTTATATTTTAATTTGTATTTCCCAAATAAGTAAAAATATCAAGAATATTTTTTAAAAATAGGCTCCACACTTCCACACCTCGAGATCAAGATCTGAGCTGAGCTCAAGGGTTGGACACTTAACCAACTAAGCCACCCAGGCACCCTCAAGAATGTTTCTTGTAACTTTTGGTCATTAAGATATCTTACTTTGTGAAGAAAGCCTATTCAAATATTTTGCCTACTTTTATTTTGTTTAGTTTTTTTAAATTACTGACTTACAAAAATTCTTCACATATTTGAATAATTGAGACATTTTAAAGTAACGTAGCTAATATGTTTTCTCAGTTTGTGACTTAACTTTTGACTTTCATGTGGTGATTTTTCGTGAGTACAGGTGTTCAATTTGGATGAAATCTTTTTGGCTTCATTTTTTCGTTTATATTTATGGCTTTTTATGTTCTCTAAAAACATCTTTGTACCAAATATTGTGAATGTATTCTCCCAAATTCTCTATGAGTTCTAGAATTTTAGTTTTTTTTAAAAGATTTTTATTTATTTATTTAATTGACAGAGAGAGAGAGAGAGATAGCGTGAGAGGGAACACAAGCAGTGGGAGTGGGAGAGGGAGAAGCAGGCTTCTGGCTGAGCAGGGAGCCTGATGTGGGGCTCGATCCCAGGACCCTGGGATCATGACCTGAGCTGAAGGCAGTTGCTTAACCAACTGAGCCACCCAGGCGCCCCTCTAGAATTTTAGTTTTAATTAAAATATCTGTGACATATCCTCAAAATCAAAATATTCTTGGGCACTATCAATGACAATGCATAGAAAATACTTCTAAAATGCTCCTAGTAGAATCCATTAGGCTCCCATACTTGTAGGAATGATGGTATCAGCATACTCCATGATCACAGGAAGATTCAGAAATTATCCTTCAAACCTGTCAAGTGCTGAGTGAAAATGACTCTTGGAAATCTTTACAACACAGTTTCACCCTTAGTTGCAATGGGTGTTTACTGGATCTAGGGACAGTCTGCATAGATAACCTGCACTGGTATTTTCTGAATTACATTCTTCCCAAGGCTATCTCCAGTGATTCCTCCATAGTATTTGGCTTCCTTTAGATGGTATTTTACTTTATTTTATTTTTTAGATGGCATTTTATTTTATTTTTTTAGATGGCATTTTAAAAAGCCCTATCTGAGGACGTATCATGCAAACACACACACACACACACACACACTCATACACACACAAACTCACATTTGTCATAATATGTGTCTTTCTTTAGATAGCATTTTAAAAAGCCCTGAGAGCCCATCATGCAAATACACACACACACACACACACTCACACACAAACTCACATTTGTCATATTTGAACACTTACCTCCCTCACACATTCCCCTTCCTCTCCCATTCAGGGCAGGGACCTGACCCACAATCTATCCAGGACCAATTCTAGAAGGTCCTGGGGTGGATCCAGCATCCCACGGGATTGACAATTCTACCAGTTCCATGTATCTCCTAGTCCAGACCTTGATGACAAGCATTTGCCGCTACCTCACGCCTACGTTATAAGGTGCCCGCGGGCCCCGGGTTCACAGCTCCAAGCCACAGGAGCCGAAGGCCTCTTCAGGGCTGGTGTTTGTGTGGGAACACCGGGGCTGGTTGGGTCAGGCGCGTTTCTTCCTCCTGGTGCCGCTTTCAGCCCTGCTTGGGAAATCGGGTCCCCACTCTCATCCTCCTGGCTCTCCTATTTCGTGACTGAAGTGTCTGGATGTAACTGCTTCTTGCACCACACCTCCTGTCCGTCCAAAAGGTGCCAGAGGTACACTCCGCTCATTCCCTACAGCCGCAAGTGTCTGTGGCAGCTCCCGCGCCGGGACCCGCCCATCGAGCTCGGCACCAGGCCGGGAATTTCTCGCAGGCTGGCTGGCGGGCGAGCACCAACAGAAGAAAGGCCACGCGGCCCATATTGGTGGGAAAGCATGGCGGACGTCGCCCGAAGGCCTCCCGCTCCATATTCCCTTTGGGGCCAAGTCGGAAGGAGGCACCCCTTCCAGGAACATGGGGGCCCGAGACCAGCCTTCGCATTCAGGCTCCCGGGTCCAGCGCGCCGTCTCCGTCCCTGCCGCGGCGAGTCAGCTGTTCCTCGCCTCTCACCCGGCTTCTTCCTCTCCCTCCTCGTCTTCCACTCCCGCTGTGTTCCTGGGGACAGGAAGCCGCCACCCCACCACCCACCCCCAACCTGCGGAAATGACCCGGCCTCCTCTCCAGTGCTTGCCGGAGGGAGCTGGATCCACGTTTGCCTAACAATGAGAGGAGAGAGAACCTGCGGCAGCAGGCCACCGGTTCCTGTGCGGGTGCTCCTGGCTCAGCCTTTCGACGGGCCCGGCTCAGCCGCCTGGAATCGTTGCTCCTCCTCGAGGGGCCAGAGACGTGCGCGGCTCACGGAGCTGGCCAAGTTAGTGTCTCTCCCACGGCGGAGCCGGAGTATATCCTGTGGGGGCCGCTCTTACCCAGAGGGGACACCGGACAGCTGGTCCAGCCGGAGCCCAAACTCTGCGCACGGGACCACTTCTTAACATCGCTTCCGTCGGCCCATCCATCCCTGGGAGGGCCTTGGAGAGAGGGGGAATGATGGAGGAGGACGCACTCTTCAGTGGCAATAAAAATTCCACTTTGCTCTGACTTGCCTCATGCTCCTCTCCACTCTTCCGTTCTAGCCCCTCTAGGGTATAAGAACGGTGGTCTTGCTTTCCTTGCAGAATTTGTGTGTGTGTGTGTTTTGTTTTTTTGGTCCATGGCTCCCTTTCCTCCAATGGACATTTATTCACATATCCACAAATTACTAGTAGAATGGCATTTGTATGAGTCTTTCCTCAAATGCTGCAGATCAAAATTACTCAAATATCTATCATTTGTCTTTAGTTTTACGATGATGTGATGCTTATCATTACACCATTATCATTAACACCAAAATTAAAGTGTGGCGAAGGCAATAACATATATAAAAATCATAATGTTGCTAGATAATGGCTAGATAGAAAAAGTGTATATTCATTCACGTGAATTTGAAGAAAGGACAAGCTGGAAAGTGTATCAAAGGACCATACATGCTTGGATGATAGAAAATTTGTCTTGATCCTGGTGATGATTGCACATTTCAATATTTAAGTAGCTGTCCCTTAATTATTTGGGCATTTTGTTCTGTGAATACACCTAACTATTTTCCTTTGTAGGATAAAACTCAGCTATCTGATGTTAGAGAATCCAACGTAGACCAGGACCAGTCTGGAGTGTATTGCAAACCCTAAAATCTGCTCTTTTTGTGTACAAAAGTCTCACTAATGTGTGACATATTTCCACCAGAAAAAACACCGACAGGACTAGTCCATTTCCTTAGGGGAAGCTCCACACAGGGCTTATTGAGAGCTCGCACCTCATCTTTAGATACTTTCTGTTAAATGGTGAAATGTGGAGCAGGCCAGGGGTTTCTCTGTGACAGAGCTACATATAGCTTAGTGCACTAGTGGGTTTTCCTCTCTTCTCCTGACCACATTGCACTGATGGCCGTCGAAAAGCGTGGCTCTCTGCCTGCAGGTAAGGAGAGTGGCCCTTTCGGCTTGAAACACAAAAAACGGAATCCTTGCCGTGACTCGGATTCGAACCGAGGTTGCTGCGGCCACAACGCAGAGTACTAACCACTATACGATCACGGCGCGCCACGGCCCCGGGGGCAAGCTCACGTCTTGCTCTACTAATTTTGACAAATTCATTCCAGTTATTGCGCTGCTTTGTTCTCGGACAACTGCAAGGTACTTGTGCTGTTTCCCTCCCCATTCTGACGTATTTATCATCTCCACTGCATCCAGCCCGTGCATCTGTACAGGCCTCCTGGGAAGTATCTTTGCAGCGTCCACGCCGGCCCCATTTCTTTCCCTCCTCCTTACACTTCCTCTTTTGATCCCCGCACCCTCCACTCCAGCTGGCTCCCACCCCACCGACCACAGCCGAGCGGAGCTCCTGCAGCGCAGATAGGCGGGTGAAGGCGAAGCAACCGGAAGAGCCACCACGCGAGCCCACCAGGCGTTCTGCTTCTCTTGGGCCCCTCTTGCCTCAGGCCCGGGGGATGACGGCCCTGGGTGTGTGTGTGTTGGGGGGGGGGGCGCTGGCATCTGAATTGGGTATGGAACGAGGTGTGGGGAGGATGTTCCGCTGGCTGCCCTTCTGCCTTTGGAATCGCCCAACGCACGGATTTCAAACGCGACTAACACGCCGTATCGACTCCTCTCGGGTTTTCCGAGACTTTGGAGACTTAACGGCTGTCCTGCAAAGGTGGGTGGCTCCCCCTAGCGTTGAGTGCGTGTGCTTGCTCTCCGTTGGTTGGGGAGGTGCATCTCCACCGGTCTCTGTAGCGCAATGGGTTAGCGCGTTCGGCTGTTAACCGAAAGGTTGGTGGTTCGAGCCCACCCAGGGACGTGGTGCTAGTTTTTAGAGCGTTACAGCGTCTACAGTTGTTTCTACCCTGTGCATCCTCTCACCTAAAGGGAGAGAAATGCCTCTATCACCCTCCGGTCCTTAAGTGTTTTGTCTACAAGAGAAGGACCCGAGCCAAGATCGTCACGATCCTCGGATCCTTGAAGAGCTGGAGGAAAACAGGTCACCAGGAATCCTCAAGAGTAGAGTCATCATCGTTACCTTCTGAATTCCTTTTAACGATGAAGTTTCTTTGTGTTTGTATTTATTTAACCCTTTCCATATACTTTTGAAATTAAGTTGGTTTTATGCTATTAGTATTATAAGTAATACTGCAGTCAAATGCTTAACCAACTGAACCACCCAGGCACCCCTGTTATTTTTCTCTTAATTAGAAATTGTCCAGGCAAAGATTATAGTTAATTCAATTTAATATCATTCAAAGAATTTAACAATAGATCTTAAAATCTCAAAGGGAGCTGACACATAATACAGAAATATATGTTGGAATCATATATTAGATGATACATTAAACATTTACTGAAAGTTGTGAGTGGAATAATTTTTTTTAAATTTAAAAAAATTTTTTAAAGATTTTATTTATTTGAGAGAGAGAGAGAGAGTGAGAGAGAGAGAACAAAAGGGGAGAGGATCAGAGGGAGAAGCAGACTCCCCGCTGAGCAGGGAGCCTGATGCCGGATCATGACCTCAGCTGAAGACAGTCGCTTAGCCAACTGAGCCACCCAGGTGCCCCATGAGTGGAATAATTAAGTCACGATGATTTCTAGAATTTTAAAAACTTATTATTCACTTAAAAGATATTATATGGTATATGTTAGGTATATGGTATTAATTTACTGGAACACATCATTTTAAATTATATAAAGTCAGTTATTGGAATTAAAGTCTGTCAGTGACCAGTAAAACCAGGATAGGTAATTTATGATGTTCAGTGTCACTAGAATTTTGAAGAGAAAATTAATCCAAGACTTGTACAAACTAGAATACTATGCTACCAATATTTTCTAAATTGTTAGAAAATCAGGAAGACAATATAAAGTTTTTAGACCAAAATGATTAAATCAGTCTGATGCATACGAGGAGTTCTCTTTAGAAACGTGACATGACATAAAACATTTTCTATGCCATAATATGTCGATTATTAAAATTCTTTTTAAATAAAGATTTATTTATTTGAGAGAGCAAGAGCATGGAGCAGGGGAAGGGGTAGAGGGAGAGAATCTCAAGCAGACTCCCTGCTGAGCAGTGGAGCCCAACATGGGGCTCAATCTTATGACCCTGAAATCATGACCCTGGGATCATGACCCCGAGACCATGACCTGAACCAAAATCAAGAGTCAGTTGCTTAACCGACTGAAGTACCCAGACACCCCTCAATTATTAAACTAATTTGTTAAAGGTATTTGAAATTCATCCTTACTGTCATCTCGATTTTTTCCCCTTGTACCTAGCACTGAGACCACTAATTTATCCACTGCTAAACCTTTTTTCCCCTTCTGAGTTACAGAATCAGCAAGAAAGCAAATGCAAGTACAAAACCTCATCAATAGCATCCTTGGACTCCTCTGGGGTCATGAAAATTAAAGCTGTCACTACCCCCACTTCAGGGAGAGACACAATTTTGAACACACACCAATCAGGATGTGCCTGCTTGGACTCAGATGCCGCCAGGACCAGGTCAAGGCCAGGACATAATATCTCACCTCTCCCTGCTCTGGGAGATGCTTTGGACCCTCAGTCCAGGCCTCACTGGAGTTTAGAGATTCAGTACAGAGGCTCTCCGACCCTGGACCTGGGGAAACCCTAACCCTAACCCTCAGGGGGTTAAAAATCTCCCTCTGAGATTTTAAGAAGAGGCTTCTTCATGCTGGGAAGCTGGGAAAAGAGTTTCCTGGACTTGGGTAGTGGCTGTGAAAGAGGGGAATGCTAGCCACTAGACTATCAGACCATGCTAGATCTCTGCTTTAGATTTGCCAGAGGTACAGAGCAAAAGTGGGGGCGACTCCCAGCGGCCCAAGGCTCCCAGCCCTTGCCCCGCTGCTCATCACCTCTCCCAGCCTCAGACGCGCTTTGGGCTCTGAGGTCTGACCGCAAGGTAACTGGCCTGTGCTACGTTCGAGTCTAGCTCGAGCCCTGTGTGTGGCAGAGCCGAGGCCGTGCTCTCTGTCCGAGCCTCGGTTTCCCGGTGAGTGCGGGGCGGACTTGGCTCGCAGCGGGTGGGGAGCAGAGTCCCCCTACTTCGGGACCTGCCAGCTAGCTCAGGGGCTCTCCTGATGCTGGCACCTGCGGGCTCATTCGGAGGCGCCTGAAACTCTTCCTCTACGAGTCCCAGGCGCAGTTGGTTTTCCTTTGCTCTGTGGGGCAAATGCACCCGTTGCGCCGGCGTGCTGGGGTCGGGAAGGCCACGTGTGCCCCACAGGGGAGACTTGGTTGGTGTTCAGAGCCACGGGGCCCGTCCGCCCGGAGAGCGGATTGAGGCGCCAGGGGAGCAGCTTAGCGGGGCTCCTGGGGGGGGGGGGTAGCGGAAACCGGAAGTGGGCCTGGTCCCGGGAGCCCTTCTGGGCCTGACGAACTGGCTGTGGGCTGCTCGCGGCTGAGACTCGCGGCGGACGAGCGAGGCCAGGCTGTGAGGTGCCGAGTAGGCTTTCAGGAAGCAAGGGAACTGCAGCCTTGCTTTGTGTTTGCTTTTCTGAATAGAAAATGGGGCTGCGCCCGCCGCGGCCGCCTTGCCTCAAACGGCCCTCCCTTCTGTCTTCAGAACAACAAGAGAACTGGGGGGCAAAAGGGAGCTGTTTCCGCCCGGTTTCGAACCGGGGACCTTTCGCGTGTGAGGCGAACGTGATAACCACTACACTACGGAAACGGGACGGGTGGCCGTCTCGCGGGCCCGAGCCCTGAACACCTTCGGTCGTGCCACCGACGTCTTTCTAAGCGCGGAAGGCCCCTGGGAGCCCCCGCGGCGCCTCAGGGAAAGGGACCGCGGCGCCGGCTTAGGCTCCCGCGTCTCCCCCCAGGAGGCGAAGCCCCGGGGGCCCTCGGCAGTCTGGCTCCGGGATCCGCACCGAGCGCAGGGTTTCCAGATCCGGACCGACGGCCCCGCTGCCGAGGGCGCCCCGCCGACTCCCCAGCTCCCGGAGGGGGCCGGTCAGGGGCGTCTGAGGCCCCAGGCGCCCCCGCCGCCCGGCCGTGGGGGGTCACCCGCCCTCCTGGGCTGTCGGCGGCCCCTTTCACCGCGGGGGCGGTCGGTGCTCTCGGCTCGTGGCCGCGGCTCGGCGCCGGGAATCCTCCCAGGACCCGGAGGACGCGCCCTCCCCGGCCTCCCGCCGGCCCCGCGGCGCCTCACCCGCGCGCTCGTCCTTCGCCGGCCCTTGCGCTCTGCGCTTCTCCGGGGTCCTCTCGGCAGAGGGGGTCCTTCCGATTCCCGCCGCTGTCACTTATTCTAGTCGACTGATTTAAGTCCAACGTTTTAATCATCCCTGTATGCTTTAGGCAGTATCATAGCAAAGGCTACGTGTTAGGACATTTGTTTTAAAATAATCGAACACCATACAGGGCACTCACGATTCCTGGCCAGTACTGCATTCGTTTGAAGACTTGATAAAGTAAACATCTATTCAGGACCCAGCGGGAGTCCACTCAAATTTCTGGATTGTTCGATTTCTCCCTAATTGGTCTTGAGACTCATTTTGAAGAGTTTTTTTTTTTTTAATTTAAATTTTAGTTAGCATACGGTGCAATATTGGTTTCTGGAGTAGATTTCAGTGAATCATGACTTACATAGAAGCCCCAGTGCTCATCACAGGTGTCCTCTTTAAGACCCATCACCCATCTAGCCCATTCCCCCACCCACCCATCAACCTTCAGTTCGTTCTCTGTCCTTAGGAGTCTCTTAGGGTTTGTTTCCTCTCCTTTTGTCCTCCCTTCCCATATGTTCATCTGTTTTCTTTCTTAAATTCCACATATGAGTGAGATTATATGGTATTTGTCTTTCTCTGACTTATTTAGTATAATACACATAGGTGTAAAGTTGCAAATGGCAAGATTTCTTTTTTGATGGCTGAGTAATATTCCATTGTATTCCACATCTTTATCCATTCATCAATCCATGGACATTTGGGCTCTCTCCATTGTTTGGCTATTGTTGATAATGCTGCTATAAACCTTGGGGTTCATGTACCCCTTTGAATCTGTATTTTTGTATCCTTTGGGTAAATACCTAATAGTACAATTGCTGGATCCTAGGGTAGTTCTATTTGTAACTTTCTGGGGAACCTCCATACTGTTTTCCAGAGTGGCTGCACCAGTTTGCATTCCCACCAACAGTGTGTAGGGGGGTTCCCCTTTCTCCACATCCTCACCAACACCTGTTGTTTCCCGTGTTGTTAATTTTAGCCATTCTGACACATGTGAGGTGGTATCTCATCCTGGTTTTGATTTGTATTTCCCGGATGAGCAGTGATGCTAAGCATCTTTTCATGTGTCTGTTAGCCACCTGGATGTTTTCTTTGGAAAAAATGTCTATTCCTGTCTTCTGCCCACTTCTTAACTGGATTATTTGTTTTTGGGGTGTTGAGTTTGAGAAGTTCTTTATAGACTTTGGAAAATAACCCTTCATCAGATATGTCATTTGCAAATATCTTCTTCCAATCTGTAGGCTGCCTTTTAGTTTTGTTGATTGTTTCCTTCGCTGTGCAGAAGCTTTATATCTTGAAGAAATCCCAATAGTTCATTTTTGCTTTTGTTTCCTTTGCCTCTGGCGATGTGTCTAGTAACGAGTTACCATTGCCGAGGTCAAAAAGATTTCTGCCTGTATTCTTCTCGAGGATTTTCATGGTTTCCTGTCATTTAAGTCTTTCATCCATTTTGAATTTATTTTTGTGTATGGTGTAAGAAAGTGGTCCCGTTTCATTCTTCTGCACATTGCTGTCCAGTTTTCCCAACACCATTTGTTGAAGAACAGTTTTGTTTTTACCTTCTATAATGTCCGAAACTTCTTTTATTTGCCTTTTATAGTTTTCCTGTTCAACAGGTCACAGAGTGCAATTTTTAACTTAGGAGGGACAAAGAGGCAAAGGCGGTTTTCACAGAAAGCCTGTGTCTGGAGGGGTTTTCATGTTTACCTCAGAGCGAAGTGCCAACAGGAAGAAATGCTGAGAAAGATTTTAATGCGCGTTCTCTCTCTCTCTCTCTCTCTCTCTCTCTCTCTCGTTTTCCTTTAGAAGTAAAGCTTAAAACGTTTGGGGGAAGAAATGTGCCATTTTCTCCAGCAGTTGCTCCTCTTAGCCAATGGTTACCGAGTTTCCTTCACACTCGAAGTTCAAGAGCTCCAAACCTGAGGAAGTGAGGGCAGCATACCCGCTGGACACAAAGCGTCAGTGCTGCTCTGTCTTGTTCTGCTTTGCCTCAAAATGCAGTTGAGGATGTGACTGGACTGCATCTTCACCAGCGACCGGAAGGCTTAGCTCCAAAAAATGTGGCCTTCAAAGAAGCATTCCATCATGAAATTTCATTAGTATTTTCCCCCTTTCCTGCCCTCCAAATTCTATTTTTCTCCTCCCCCCCCCGCCCGCCCCCCCCCACAGAGACAGTGAAGAGGATTCACCGTCTTTCGGTCGCGTCGGGGGACCCTTTGCGGTTCCGCGCGGACAGGAGAAAGGAATGTCCCTTCCTCTACAGGAGCGGGAAGGGCAGTCAGCCCTCGAGGACCACGGACTAACACACGCGCCACACGCGGGGTCCCCGCACACCCAGTCGAGCGCTCGCTCCTTGGAGCTTCTGTGTAGGCCGCAAGGGAGGGCGCGTGGGAGTCCAGACCCGGCGAGAGGAGCCGCACTGAGGCGCCCCGGCCCTAACCCCTGGCCCCCGAGGACGGGCCTGGAAGAGGGACAGAGCTTTCCCCGACCTCCCAAGAAAAAGCGCCAGGGCGCTGAATCCCACGAGCTCGCGACTTCAGGGTGACGGAGCCAGTGTGCCTTGTACCGGGGGAGTCGTTTGCCGAAAGCGGGCCGCAAGGAGAAGCGTGGCTCCAGGGCCGCGGCCAACGAAAGAAGACACACGAGTTTCCGACCGAGCGGCTGTGTGGCGGGAGCAAGGCCGGCGTCCAAGAGAACAGTTGGGGCCCGAGCGTGCAGAGCCGCGGCGGAGGTAGGGTGGAAGCGCGGGGCGGCGGGTCGTAGGGGGAAGACCCGGGGTCCAGTTCGGGGCCGCCGAACCTTCCCGAAAGCGGTCTCGGTCCGCGCCGCCTCGGCTGCTGCGTCCCCCGGAGTCCGCCGGGTGATGTTGGGGACCCCGGCGTCTGAAGCCGGGCGCCTCCCCCTCCCCCGTCCTCCCGGCGACGTCGTGTCCACACGCGGCCGCCTCGCGAAGGCGCGTCTCCAGGGCAACTCTGAGCGGCGGCCCGGCCGGGCGACTGGTGCCAACTCTCGTGGACCCGGCGGGCCTCGGGGCGGGACCGCTGTCCCGCCGAGCTCTCGGTCTTTCCTGTGGAATTCTTTGAGAAAGCGGGTAGGGAATGGCCTTAGGGGACTGTTCCTGAGAGGGGTGTGGGTCACCCAGAAGAACAAACGGACAGGAAACCGCTTAAGGCAGAGGGTACTTGTATCCCTTAAAAACAGGCCGTGAGCAGCTCCGCGGTGGTCTAGTGGCTAGAAGTCGGCGCTTTCACCGCCGCAGCCCGGCTTCAATTCCCAGTCAGAGAAAGCTGTTTTGCATGCAGTCCCTAAATGCCGAGGAGGTCAGGCCTCAGGGTCCGTGTTAACTCCCACGCCGGGAGAGGAGAGCCCGGTGAGCCTGAACAGAGACTCCTCTCACCTCAGAAACCTAAGGTTTCACTTTCAGATTTCAGAATCTCCATCTAAAGAGAACTTGGAACTTCCAGTCAACTTAAAAAAACAAAAAACAAAAAACAACCAACAAACGCTGAAACATACAAAACAAGTTGCAGGAGTGGTAACGTCCTGTATCCCTCAGCTAAGTGCATCAGTTACGTTTTGCCCCCATTTCCTTTCTCTCTCTCCATAGATATGTTTGAAAGTACCCTGCAGACATCTCAAGAGAACTGGCTGGGCCACTGTTGCTCCTTTCCTTGGGCAATGTCCCTCAAAACCAGCCTCCGCAGGACCTTTCCTCCAAGGCCAGGGGGGGACATCGTCCTCTGGAGGAGGCCCCTCTTGTCCCTTCAGGAACCAGACACCTGTTGCCTTCAGGCTGCTAGAGAAGCTTCGGGCAGGCCGAGTGTTACTTGCCTCTCCCAGATGGTGCAGGCCAGCCGTGTCCTGTGCTTGTAGGAACACGATGAGGTTGTCATGCCTCCAGCACCACCTGCCCTCTGGACTCCTTCTGGTGGCTTTGGTGGGCAGCGGGTCCAGGGCCAGCCTGAGCTCTAGAACCCCCCAGCCCAGGAGACACCCTTCAGGGAGGTGCAGGTGCAGCACCCCTTAGCTCCTGCCCTCCTGACTCTCTGTGCCCTGCAGGGATCTTAAACGGTCCTGGCCCAGCAAAAGGTGAAGAATCCTTTCTGGTGGTGGGAGGATGAGGGGAGCAGGTAGAAAATTCTTCAAAGGGAAGGGGGAAGTTTTCAAGAGCTTTCCAGAATTGTCTGTGTTGATGCTCTCAGGTAGGTGGCTACCCTGTGATGATGGTGCTTAGTCTTATCTTGTCCTGGCCTTGAGCTGGTCCTGGCTCCAGTATGAGTCCAAGTAGACACAGGCAGCTTGTAGTTTGTACTCAGTTGTGCCTCTCCCCAAAGTGGGGTAGTGCTTGAGCTTCTATTTCCAGAATCCTAGAGGAGGATAAGGATGCTTTTGATATTTTTTCCTTACATTTCTGTAGAGACCCTTGAGAAGACGGATACATGAAGGTCTTTCACAAAAGCATTACTGCCTGCTTTCTCTCTGGATACTTCCCCGTAAGAAGAACGAACCAAGGGAAGAAAATTCATTTGACTTAAGGGTGCTTCTGTCTGTTATGCTTTCCTTTAATCCTGAGAAAAATTTCTCATTTGGTGACCTCTGGGTCAGCATAAATCCACACATACACATGCACATTTATACATATGCACATATATACATACATACAAGGCAAGAAAATAGATGCTGCAGGTATTGAAAAGCTAGAAATACAGTTGTACCCTTATAAAACATCATTATCTACATCAAAACAAATAATACAAAGTCAAAAGAAGAGAAAGTAGAGCCAACATGGCAGTCTGTTTCCTGGACTTTGGCCCTGCCCTTGGTAGTGGCCTGTGATATATGAGTAATTAACACTTGGTCTCATGGCTGGTCTTCTGTCCAATTCAAGCACCTAATCAAGGACTGACTTCGGTGGAATGTTCACCTTTTTAAGACAGCCAAATGCCCTGAGACCTTCAGCCTTGGCTGTGGAGCTGTTTAAAACATGAAGGCCTGATTAAAGTGGTTGACTTAAAATTTGATTTAAAAAAACCCCAAAAAACAAAAAAACAAAAAACAAAAAAACCCCACAAAGTGACAGAAGCCAAAGGGATCCTCTATTTCTGAAAGAAAGGCAAGGCAGAGTCATTGCAGCTTGAGAGGAATGACCTGGCAGAGCAATGTAATGAAAGGGAAGAGAAAGACAGGGAGGGAAGGAGTCCCCCTGCTCTTGGCTTGTAAGGAGCTCTCCCGAGCCTCAGAGCGTGCAAGTCCCCCAGCTTCTGAAGCTTCCAGAAGCTCCAACGTCCAAAGGATAAAAACTTTCAATTTGTGTTTTGTTCCAAATTGGGAGTCCTGACTGAAATGTGGGTTTCCGAATCCAGGATGTGAAAATCCCCCTTGCTTCCAGGGAAAGACAATATAGCCCCTAAGCGGGGGCCTCTGCAGTACTGAGTTCTCATTTGGCTGAAGCACTGCCTTAGTTCTTTCTGAAGACATTGCTTTTGGCTGAATTTTGCATATCACATGCCCTAAATTTGGACACAGCACAAAGCTCTGTATTCAGGAAGGGGTGGAGACACTACAGTGGAGAGGTTGCCTCACATGTGAAAAATGAAACTAATGTAACACCCTATGTTAGTTATATTTGGATGAAAAAAGAAAAAAAGAAAAAAATGTCCTTTCAGAAATTGGATAGAATTATTTTTTTGAAAGACTTTAATGTACTCTTTTCTGAAAACTCTTGCTTGAAAATGCAAGAAATATAAAAGACATCATTTGCGTCCCTGGAGGGCCCCAAAGGAACCCTGTAAATAGGTCTAAGGTTGCTGAAGCAAGCAAGAGTTGGAAACAAGTTTTGAGCACACCAAGCCTGCCTTCCAAGGAAGGATACACAGTTACAAAGTGCCAAATTCTGGCAATACAAGAAAACTACTTTGTAGACAAGTTTTACCTTTATTTCTAGAGCTCCAGATTAAAATATTTCAGTTATATCCACTAATACTCCACTGGTTTGTTAGGGATTGATTGATTGATTGATTGAAGTGAGGGAGAGCAGGCCAGAACAAGGCGGGCTGGAGGGGAGGAGCAGAGGGAGAGGGAGAGAAAATCTTAAACAGATTCCACCCAGAGCGTGTAGCCTGAGTCAGGGCCTGGATCCCATGACCCGGACACCAAGACCTGAGTGGAAACCAAGAGTCAGCAGCCCAATGACTGCATAACCCAAGTACCCCTAGGGCTTTTTGTCATCTGATTTAAGTTTTTTAAACTTATTTTATTTAAATTCAATTAGTTAACATATAGTGATCATTAGTTTCAGATGTAAAGTTCAGTAATTCATCAGTTGCACATAACAACCAGTTCTCTTTACATCAAGTGCCTTCCTTAATGCCCATCACCCAGTTACCCCATCCCCCCACCCCCTCCCCTCTAGCAACTCTCAGTTTGTTCCCTATAGTTAAGAGTCTCTCATGGTTTGTCTCCTTCTCTGATTTCATATTATTTTATTTTCCCCTCCCTTTCACTATGATCCTGTTTTGTTTCTTAAATCCCACATATGAATGAAACCATATGATAATTGTCTTTCTCTGATTGACTTATTTTGCTCAGCATAATACCTCCCAGTTCCATCCATGTTGATGTAAATGGTAAGATTTCATCCTTTTTGATGGCTGAGTAATATTCCATTGTGTACACCATCTTCTTTATACATTCATCTGTCAGTGGGCATCTGGGCTCTTTACATAGTTTGGCTATTGTGGACATTGCTGCTATAAACACTGGGGTGCAGGTGCCCCTTCGGATCACTGCATTCCTATCTTTGGGGTAAATACCCAGTAGTGCAATTGCTGGGTCATTGGGTAGCTCTATTTTTAAATACTTGAAAAACTGGTTAGTGCAAATGCCTGATCCAATATATGGGCAGGAGGGAGTAAGGTGTGTGTGTGTATGTAGGCACAAGAAAGTAACACAGTAGCAGAGATCCAATTTGCTGAAGTTCCCAGTCCTATTTTTTTGTGAGGTGCCATTGTTCTATTGTATTTAACATTGTTGTGGTGACATTCTTGGTTAGAACTGAATTATAGAAAGTGAAGTGGTTCTAGAAGAACATAAATTTACATAATCCAGAATTTGTACTGGATTATCTGGAATTGGGTCTTAGACCTGATTAGATTTGAAGGTATTAAGGATCCTGATGTCAGGGAACATCCTCAGTTTGTTGCAGGAATTCTCTGCCTTCACTGCCCGCAGTTCTTGGTCACGCCATTTCCAAGAATGAAGAGGTAGACCAGACAAAGAGTGGTGGGCAGCAGAGCAAAGTTTATTGAGCAAGAGTATAAAGCTCCTGGAGAGGGAGGGAGCCTGAGAGGGTTGCCTTCGGAGTTCCCAAGTTTAGGTGTTTTTATGAGCTCTTCTGCGGAACTATCTTAAGCAATCAGGGTGTGCCGAGTCATGCCAATCAGGGCTCTGGTCATGTATCTGTCTACAGATTAGGTTAATGTCTCTGTGCTGATAGTATTTTTTGCTGACATCTGGGGGCTTATGTCTTAACTGCCCCTTGCCCGTGACATTGACAAATGCTTTGTGGTTAATTGACTTATTTTAGGATGTTTTGCAGAAGTCATTTTTGCAAAGGTTGCAAAGCAATGCTGGTGTGGCTGTATCTAAGCTGTAAAACAGGATGTTAGTGCTGTTTTATTTTTGCTGTCCAGACTCCATATTTTCCTGTTGGGGACCCTAGCCCTGACTACCTAACTGTCCAACTAACCCCTAACAAGTTCATGGCATGCAGTAGCAAGACATTTACTCAAGAGGCTTTCACTGTTCACTTGCTTGGTTGACTGAAAACTTGCACTAAAAAGTGGCCTATTGTAAATGAAGTCCAAGTGCCAGAACTTCTTTGGTATATTACAGAGGAAAGTATGCAAAGGTTTAGGGAGATCAGGATGCTAGAGAGGATTTATCATGTATTACAAGCTCATTCACCCCTATCTATAGCCTCTGGAAAGATCAAGAATAACACTATTTTGAAGAAGGCTGTGGGAAGTACATTCAAGAAGTATTGCATCCTCCAAGGACTCTGTGGTGGCTGTTTTGGGAAGGACAGTGGGAACTGCTGCCATTGAACCATGATCCCTGAGATTAATGGAGATAATAGAAGATGGAGTTGAGTGTCACGTGACAACAATTAATTCCCAAGGACAAGGTGATCACAGTTAATACAATGGATCCCAGACCTGAAGAACTAATCAGAATGTCTCAGCACTCTTTGTCATTAACTCATCAGTGTCTCTAGATCTGAAATAGATGGGTAGTCTATTAGAGTTTTACTTGATCTGTAAAAGCAGAAACATTTTCGTTCTAGCGAACATAAGTCTGACTTGAATCACAGTAGCCACACATCCTCATCAGATTCACAATCGTAGAGCCCTTTGAATGAAGGGAAGATAGGTTCCCTCAAAGAAAGCTGCTATTTATATGGCTAAAAATTAATACTCTCAGACCTTTAGTCAAATAGCATGTTCATACCAGAGTGATCTGAGTAGAATGCTCTGTTAGTAAAAGTTAACTTTATAACAGAATATTTGACAATTGTACCATAATAAATATTACTTGACCTTAGCTATTATTGGTTATGCTTAATTGCTAAAAAATATTATATAAGGATTATCATTAGGGTTGATTATCAGTCAAATCAGGATGAGGCAAGTTTAGAATTTGAACATTTATTTGACTGTCATGAGCTTTACCTTTAGTAGGAAGCCAAAATAGAGTATCTAACTCTATTTAATTTAATATCTATTTACATATTTAAGCAGAATTTAACAATTTTATAGGAGCATACATACATTGAAGTTATTTATAACAACATTTGGTATTTTTTTTTAAAGATTTTATTTATTTATTTGACAGAGAGAGATGCAGCAAGAGAGGGAACACAATCAGGGGGAGTGGGAGAGGGAGAAGCAGGCTCTCTGCTGAGCAGGGG